TTCAAATGATTCAGAAATATTTAAAAGAATGATGAGATTTTATGTATATTTTAAAATCTCAAAGTTATTGATCTATAATTTTACCAATTTCTGACTCATTACAGATCGCGAGGTTTCCTCAATTTTCTGAATCTTACATCACTTTTTTTATTTAGTAACACATATACAGAAGTGTATACGTACATATTGCTATATGTTCATGGATCAAAACAGAAATAAGTAAATCACTTTTGCCGAATGTGCGAAAAAATGTATTCCTTCGGAATTCTTAAAAGTAAATTTATTTTCTTTAATGCATCTATGAATTACTCATTACAACATGTATATGATGTTTTCAATAATTCTTAATTGTGCAGTGTACAATCAAAATACTAAACGAAACTACTAGTCCTAAACAGTTGTAACAATTGTGACGCATCAAAAAATACTTTCTAAGTTCATCGATGAAATCATAATTTTGTCTAATTCTGCCTCATTACAGATCGACATGTTTTTAAGAAATCAATATTTGTTACGTAATTAATAATTACAATACTATTTTGTCAACATAGACATTTCATTTTTTGATATTGCTATTTTTTATCCATAAATATTTAGTTTTATATAAGATACAAAATTTTATTACTTACATCTTAAGATTACCAATTTAATTGAATTCCAAGATAACCATAATTAATCTTTCTACTCAAAGTATTCAACAGCACAAATCTATAAACGATTTAGAAACATATTCAATCACTTTAGTCCAAAAGTGAATTAAATGTTATGAAATCAACACCTGCATTTTATAAATAATTTCAAGAATGACATGCGTCAAAACAGATTTATTTGATGGATTGACGTCAAGAAAAAAATCAACTATATTTTCTCCCAAATAGAAAAAAAAAGTTTTTCCTTGTTTTATGCTAAGTTCATTGCTATGAATGGATTTATACAGTTTATCTCTAATAATTTGATTGTACTGAAACCAAGCATACATTTTTGATTTAAAAGATTCAAATTTGATTAATATTAATTAAAGCCCAGTATTTTTGTTCCTATTTTTTTCACCGTTCAAATATAAAATAAATTGTTATATTTAAAAAAAAAATATATTTCTGTATTAAATTTTTTTAAATTAAATAATTACTTATATAAAACTAATTTACATTGCAATAATGTTTAGTATTATAATATTAAATCAGATTATCCTAAAAAAAATAACAAAATTAAACATTTCTTAAGAATAATTTTCAAACCATTCACATAGGAAGTTGACTAAAATCAAGACTCACTTTAAATCAGCAAATTTCCGTTCCAACATCCAAATCGATTTCACGCCCGGTTTCCGTTTCCCATCGGATTTCTGCACAATCTACCAGCTTTATTGTACAGCATTTTTTTTGTAAATCTTCATCTCCTATGTGTGATTTTTCGTATCCTCATCCATTTCCTATAAGCAATCAGTTCCTTCCTCAACGACTATTTTATAGTCGATAGATTTTTTTTTGCTCAGTTTTTGCTGAGTTTCCTTTCGCCAAAAGGAAGCGGCGAATCGAAGTGCATAGAAGCAGACTCTTTCGGTGTGTATAATATTTTTTTCTGGTCCATCGCGCATCTCTCGCCTTCCTAAATTTAGAACCATTGAGTAACCTAATTTTGAAAACGGATATATAACGCGCTTCTTGTATATATAAATACGTGTGTAAAAAGTGTACAGCGTTTCCAGAGTGTAACTATTTTCGGAATTCAAATGCAATCGCTCTTTTCTTTTAATGGTACGAAACCATAAACGCACTTTTCTTTTTTTTTTAAGTTATTATACGTTTTATCGGGGTACTCCATTTTTTAAACAAACTTTGGTTTAGATTTTCAATCATATTTTAAGTTACTGATTATGCATTGATTTCAGACACCTCAAAAACCTAAATTAAGTAAATTTTATATCAAAAAAAATTGTAAAATGTAAGCAAATGATAATATTTTTTTATTAGACTTGTCAAAAATTAATTGTAATCAAAATTATAAGAATTGTATTGCATTTCTATTCGATCACATCTTTTACATTTAGAAAACTTAAGAAAAAGTATTCTTATACAACTTCACCGATATTGAGCAACGTTGGGAGCTGGTAATACAAAATATGCAACTGTAAATACGTAGAATATTTTGGAAAACATTTCTCGTTTTCCCGGGATAAAATCGAACTATTTCCCTCAAAACATTGTGAAAATAAGGCCGCTTGTTACAAAATTGTAATACAAAATTCCTTATACACATATGTATTTATCTAATGTATGTATTGTTTTTGACTATTGTGTAAAAATTAAAAAAAAATAATTTAATAATTTTTATGGATTTTTTTTCAATATTTGATAGTTTATTTATTCAAATTTTAACAATCACATTCATTATAATGTACATGTTTAAAAGTAAATTTAATTTAAAATTTCCTGGGTGTAAAAAAAAACCAGTAAAAGTTACCCTTTATAATACATACAAATAAATAGAATTTGCTCAATTTTAGATCAAACCATTTTCTATATTTAAGTGCAAACGAATACATCTTTTCTTTTTAATTTAAATATATTTTTACTCATGAGTTTATACGTACTTATTGCTACATGTTCATGGCTCAAAACAGAAATATCACTTATTCCGCATGTGTGAAAAAAAAATTATTCCTTCGATTGGATTGAAATGTAAATTTATTTTCTTTTTACTTTGACTCTAGTTAAAAAGCAATGCGTGTATGAATTATTCATTAGATTATGTATATGATGTTTTCAATAATTCTTAATAGTGCAATTTTTTAATACGACTATCATTTACGTCCATATTCCAGGGATTCAGATAAATTAAATCCGTTCATTCAGTACATATATAACATAAATTACAATTACAAAGTACATGGCGTAAATTAATCCAATTGTAATGATAATAACTTAATCATTCGAATGTGATTAAATTATTTATTAACATGAATTTGTGATTATGTTTTTTTTTCTGTAAATACATAAATACATCATTTATTTTAAATAGGAATTGTTTTTTTATTGAAATGTAGATATTTCTTATAAATCAAAATCTTTGGTATTCAAACCTTGTTTCTTCAGTTAAATATATTTAAACTTTTAAATATTATTACGTTTCATCAAATATAAATCAAATATGCATGATTCTTTGAAGATTTACAAATGTGTTTAGAAATTATTGTTTTTTCATATGATAATAACTTGAACCAGTTCTATGATTTAAAAATAAAAGAATCTATCATCTTTTATATAATACCTCATAACATATTTTTGTCTCAAGTTATTATAAAATTACATACGTAATGATAAATAAAATAGGTATTGACTAAATTAATAGAAAATTATTTAAACATAAATAACAATTAAAGTCCTATCCAATTCCACAACACAAACTAAATAATATCTTGAATCCTTTTTTACTTATCATTTATATTATATTATACAAACTGATAAATCAAAGTATTTCCAAAAAGATTATAATCAAAAGATGATACAAGTATTTTAGTATGAATAAAAATTGAATAATCTTTTACAAAAATAAATAACGCATTTCATTAATAAACTGTTAAAAGTTACTTACTACAACAACTAAAGTAACACATTTAGTTGTTCAGAATTTTGAATATTTATTTAAAAAATATATTTACTTGTACATAATTTTGATTATATTATATAATATTTTGTTATATATTTGATTTTTCAATCAAGATATTTCTATGTGATTGTTTTGATGTAAACAAACAATTTTCTTGAAAATAATTGATTGTAAATGTTGTTTCTATTATGTATTAAGATAATTTGATATTATAAAGTGTATTGCAATTTATTTATTAATAATTATATAATTTTATTAAATAAATATTTCAGAAATGAGCAGAAAAGCCTATGGTCTATAGCCCTTTGTATCAGTTGACTTTTTTGTTTTTTTTTTTAAATTTATTATTTCAGCGTATTTTTTTTAAATTTATTAATTTGTAAGAAAATCAATTAAAAATAAAGTAAAATTCATATAATTTTGTGTAATATCTATTAGCGTATTTTTTTTAATTTATTAATTTGTAAGAAAATCAATTAAAAATAAACTAAAATTCATATAATTTTGTGTATTATTAATGCGTTTCAGCCAACAATTGTTCAAAAACTGTTTTAAATTATTTTTATTGAAAATATTTATTTATAAACTTTTATTGTCCCTAACTTGATCCAAAAGAATGTCGATCTAAGTCTTTCTGAACAGGAATTTCAAATCTAATTTGAAGCTTATTTTGATCATCAATTAGTACCTCGCATTATGCGGATTCGATCAGTGCTTAATTTTTTAAGCGATATTCACGGAACCGATTATTAAGTTGATTTTTTTGTTTAAATATAAAAGAGATTTATATAAATTTATTACTGATTTTTGATTTTTTGATAGTTGATTTTTCTTAATATATTGTATTTGATGATTTTCATAATATCTTCATTCTGTGCAGAATGTTTATATATATATACGTCTGCGGCATTTGCGTTTTAAACATCGCTTATCCTCGATGCCTTCTGTTCATGTACTGAAGACACTTGTAACTGCTGCGGTCCTCTTCATCTAAACGTAATTGAATATGCGCTCACGTGCAAGGTATTATTGTTAATATTCGTCTTTCTTCGTGGTCCTTTTTGGTTTCTCATTATTTTAGTTTGTTGGTTAATGGCATGTAATTTTCGACATATGGTGAAATGGGCCGAGAAGAAGTCCAAGAACGTGGAAATAATGTCCCCGATGTTGGAAGAGATGCGTGCCCCCAAAGTCCATCCCCACCACCGTCGCACATCATCATCACCATCGAAACGAGAAGAACAGAGGGTGACCGAGGGAGAGCTGCGATTGGTCGAATCCATCCACATATCCATCCCAAGGGGTAGTTTGAGTGGGGTGGATTGCCATAAAACGGGCGGACGTCGGTCCAGTTGGGCAACAATCGTTCGAATCATCGAAGCACACGCACAATGGATCAATACCAAGCATACAGTTGTTACAACTACATCGCGGCTCCGTACTGCGGGGCGGCAGTCGATGGCGGCGAAATGGTGGAGTGGAGTTCGCGGGGTAGCAGTTACGATAGCAACGAGGATAGGGGATACAGGAGCGGCAGTCCGGAGGCGGTTTCCGACGCCGGCGCCGCCGCCTCCAAAGGACCGAGGGTCACGCCCCAGGTGCTGCGGAAGAGGCGGCTGGCGGCGAACGCACGCGAGCGCAGACGGATGCAGAACCTGAATCAGGCGTTCGACAGGCTCAGGACCTTCCTACCGCAGCTCGGACAGGACAGGCAGCTCTCCAAATACGAAACGCTCCAAATGGCACAGACGTACATCAACGCACTGTACGATTTATTGGATCATCCGCCGCAGCATCCTCATCACAACCAGTAGGACGACACCAACACTCATTCTTCATACCAAACACTCTCTAAATGGACTGAACTGTAAATACTCTTGTACATAACAAAGAAAAAGGAACTGCGTTCCTTATTTTCTCTATATTTTTATATTATTATCGTTATTTATACTTAAAGAATAAAAGATCTATTTATGTAATTGTACCTCGTTTTAATACCAATATGGCTAAACCATCTTCAACCCTGATTCCCACAGACTGCTATTACACCATAAACGTATTCTTCAGTTTTTAAAAATCCATATAGATAAATCTACTTATATTATATTTACAAATAATTTATTTACAACTCTCCAAGAAAAAACACTTAACGATTTTTTTATTCCTTATATATTATTTCAATTTTTATACATTTATTCATATTTTATACTGTAATGCTTTTGATATTTGTTCAAAATTTATTACTGCTTCAGTTTATGAATATCAATTGTTACATAAAATGACTAGAAAATTATAATTAAGAACATATTTAAAAAAAAAAATAAAAAAGATATGTAAAATTTGAAAATTTTGCAAAATACACATTTTTCCTATTTGTCCATATGCATTAGAAAATACTGCCAATACTGCATTCATATTTTATAGTTATTTTATAGTATATTCTCAAAATATTGTGTATGATAATCCACAATTCAAGCAAAAAAAATATTTTATTAAAAAAAAAACTATCTATATAACTATGTTTATTTTACAATTTAATCTAAAACATTGCGAATAACAACCATACCTATACAACAATTTATAACAAAAAATGTTGTAAACAAAAAAATATGCTAATGAAAAGGACGACAAATAATATGTTCAAAATCTTCTCAACTACTTTACTACTTTAAAATATAAAAACAACAAATAAGTAATTTGTGTGAAGTTCATAACTAAAAAAATATACTCTAAAATTAAAAATACTTTTGATTACTATATTAACATTCTAATACTCAATTTTTTCATCATTTATATTAATTTGTTTTCACAATTATCCAAAGATTTTATAAATTACGAAGAACAACATCAAATCTTAGACATGCTTTTATAACTAAATATGAATAAAATATTAGTTTAAATGATTTGTATTACACAGACCAATGGAAAAGTGGAATCGCAGAGCATCAATATACTAAATTTACCCTAGTAGACGGCAGCCAACTAATAAATTACAGAAGAATATAATAGTAAAAACTTCTATTGGGAAGTTCACCAAAAAGCAAATGTCTACCGCCATTAGATGTAATTAATATTCAGAGGAATAAGATTGTAAATTAAATATACTATAACATAATAAAAAAATGATTTGTATAAGGTCAATAACTCTTCATAATAAATTTTATTTACTTATATGTAACTGTATTCTATGAAATAACTAGTTATATATTATATATACTATAGAATATAATATCTAATTATTAAGTAAAATAACAAAATTTTATTAAATAAAGTAAATAAACAGACGAGAGAAATATCATAACTTTAGAAATTAAATAAGTTTTATTAGTTAGTATTTAGTAAAAATAAATAAACAATTTGTCATTTTTTTTAATAGACTAATCAATAATTAGTGAAAATATCAAATAACAAAACAATTTTATAAAGTAACTACCGTAGATTATTTTCTGAAATAACTAGTTATTTCATTTTCACTAATAACATCTACAGCAGTGATTCTCAAACATTTCATCATTATATTTTTTTTCGACCCCCTAAATATTTATAATTTTCATACTATGTAAACTATACCATATTGCAAATATTAAAATAAAATTCTAACTTAATTGTTATAACAGTGAGATAAAAGGAAATACAAATGATGTGCTTATTTCGGAAATACTATTTTCGGATATTTGTTTATTATTTATAATTATTACGATAATTAAGATAACATGTTTAGTGTTTAAACGTTTATAACCTAATTAGATAGCGTAGACCAAAACCTCCATATCTAAATAAAAGAACTATGTTTTTGTTTAAGTTAGACCCTGGGTCGTCAACCCGCGAATCCGGAGCCGCATATGGTCCTATAGATAAGAAATTACACTTACAGCAATGACCTTTATGTGGCTACATTGGAAAATTTATTTCACTGGCAAAAATAGCGATTGTAATGCTATGTACTGCTCGATAGATAAAAAAAAAAGTCAATATCTTGTAAATGACTCTTTGCTCAAAGAAGGTTGTCAATCCCTAAGTTAGACACACTTGATCCTAAAGTTAAATTACCGTGGCGAACTGAAATTATAACGATGTTTATATGCACACTTAATGTGCATTTAACTAATGATGTTAATATTGGTTTAAAATCAATATTATAATCTCACATTATACTTTGTAAATATTGAAAACTGATAAAAGTAATTAAAATATCTAGATTTTTTTTATGATACAAAATGATTATATTATATAATTATTGCAAATACAAAATGTAAATTAAATAATTAACTATTTTTTCAAATAAATATTTCATATTATTAACTAACCTTTTGGAATGTTTCCTTAACGTAAAAATTTAATGATAAAAATTTTTATATAATTATTACTATAAATGAACATATACATATTGGGTAAGTTCTAAACAATCTGATCAGTTTATATACTTTAATAGTAAATTTTGTGCAATAGCTGTACCTCGTATAGTCCGGATAATCGATTCCGACCGGACTATTTAAAACCGGACCAAGAATAGACTTCAAAAATAAACTTGTCTGTAAGAAACAAAACAAAATATATATACAGAAATAATTTTATACATTATTTCTTTTAGAATTTATTTTTAAATCAATTAAAATTTTTGAAACCAAACTACTTGAGGTATTGCTAAAATTCTTGTTGTTATTTTTATTTCATAATATTTACAAAATATCAAGTTCTTCACAAGTCACCAAAGTTTATCCACATATCCATTCTATTAAGGAAACTCTATTAAAATGATAAATTAATATATTTCCTTTAACTTATAAAAAAAAAACACATATGAAACTACTTTGAAAGCTTGCCAAGAGGATATTTTAACTCGTTAAATTTTGATTAAGTCTGTGATGTCTTTCCACTAGGTGCACAATCACTCAAGTGGCAAAATATCTGAGAGAGACTACAAAAAAATCATGCTATTCCAAATGTTTGTGCAATTTTTTCGAATTCAAATATCTTCTTGGCACTCGACTGACCAAATGTTTGCGCTTCAATTTTCCACACAATTTAACGTAATTTTAAAAAAAATCGTGATAATATGTCATTTTTAATATGTTAATTGATTAGTTTATTTGTTGAAAAAAAAAACATTTTTTTTAGTAAAAATCATGAATACATTTTTATACTTTGACTAAAATTTACAATATATTTACTAATTTAATTATGTTTTTCAATAATTATATTTATGAATATATTTTATAACATTATTTGTGATATTATAAGAAATTGGAGAAAATAAATATTGTTTTAATGAGAGCAGGGGCGGATTTAGCCCAGGGCCCCAATGTTATACCATTTGGGAGGTCAAAGTTAATTGTACACCTCTGATTAAAGGCCTTTATATATGAACATTAAGAAACAACAGACATCGAAATTTTATTTTAAAATAAATATATTGCTTTGAAATGAAGAGAAAATACAAGTAAATCAGAGACAAATTATTTTTAAAACTTTACATAAGATAATCTAAGAAGCCTTAGACTATATGAAGTAATTTATTTCATAATTATTTGTGTATTTAATCTATATGTCAATTTGGAGATTAACATTTTTAAAATTTCCTGTATTTTATTATCAATATTATTGACAGATTGTGACAGTAATGGTTTTCAAAGTAAATAGTAAATAAATCATTAACGAAAATTGAACTACCTCGAAATGTACTTACATGGAAACTTACAATTTTTCTACAAAATTCTTAATAACTTGGATTTGTCATCCTGCGAACTTATTGATGGAGGTGTTACATTTTTTTTATTCCATTTTCCTAAGTAATATAAGATATTGAAGTAAAATATAATGATAATTATATAATTTTATGTAATTAATAAAATTAAAAAAAAATAACAATATTTCTTTGAAAAATCCATGTAGAATATACAAAGAATTAGAATATTTTACACGTCATGTGTAGCTTAAGCTTAATACATTCATTTATAAGTATTGTGATCTAATAGTTCTGAAATTTAAAATTTCCATAGTGTATTTCGAGGCAAAGTGACCCTTCTATAGCAAATACGTGAAATATTTGAATTTCAAAGTGGAATAACTTTGGTTTCCCATGTGTTAAAATGGGAAAAATCAGTAATTCTAATATCCAATATACACTGCATTTCTGCTTCATCATTCGTAAAGAAGAATTCTTTGATAAAACAAATAGGACGTGCTTTGTGTGATCGAATGTGCATGCAAAATTTTCCCCGAAATCTTAGAATTCTGATTTCAAATATCATGTTAAAATCAACGGATTCCTGCGTTCAAAAGAAATAGGTGTTTTTTTTTGTATAAGGAAGAGTAACAAGACAATATTAACGTTTTGTGACGTATACAAAATTTATTATACTTTTTAAAAATCCCAGACTGTTTTCAAATATCATGTTAAAATCAACGGATTCCTACGTTCAAAAAAAAAATAGGTGTTTTTTTTGTATAAGCAAGAGTAACAAGAAAATATTAACGTTTTGTGACATATGCAAAATTTGTTCTGCTTTTTAAAAAATCCCAGACTGTTTTTAGCATTAAATAATGAGAATTAATCATTTGTCGGTAGACTTTAATATTATTGACCCGTAACGTTAACTGTAATAAAGTCATAATAAATAAAGTGATATAACAAATATTCTTTACTGCAAAATATATCTATATGAAGAGAATGATACATTAATTTTTATGTATTGAGATTTTATGTTTAAGACAAATAAGATGTTAACTATCAGAATAAAGCATTGGTTTTGGGTATGTCTTTGTTTCAAATAATTCGATTATCAAACAAAAATGAAAAACACAAAATGAAAATGCATTTGTTAATGATGTTGAAGAATGTTCTCTGCAAAATCCATGAATAATGAAGAGATTTTGACAAATAAAATTTTAATATACAGTAAGGGCAACTGGTTAAATCAAATGGTAATATCGCCCTATCCATGTGCTAGTGGGCACAGGTTCAAATCCTGGTCAAGCCAGGCCTTTTGTGAGCCTTCTCGGTGCTTGCAGCAATAGGGCCATCGTTCATCACAGATGGACAGTGAAATTAATGTGGTTCTGCATATGGACATTCAGCCAAGTCGATGGACAATGATAGTGTTAAGGATAGCAGCAGATTCACAGTAAAAGGAAATAGTGAAATCGCAGAGCATCAATATACTACTGAAGTTAACATACAAGACGACAACCAACCAACAAATTAAAAAATCAAATCATCATAATGATAACTATCTACCGAGAAAGATTATCCATTTAATGTCAACTGCGATCTTAAATTTACTCAATGTTTACATTGATGAACAGATTGTGAATAACACTATACGACATAAAAAAGAAATATACAGTAAAACCCTTATTTGGAAAACAAATAATTCAATTATCGAACATCCAATAATTATATATTTTTTTTAATGGAAAAAGATTTTGGTCGATAAGTTTTTGATCATAAATAATAAAGATGTTTTATAATATTTTTATTTTGTTTTAACAATTTATTGCAGTTCGTTGTATTTTGGACTATAAATTATTATTATTAAAATGTTAGCATACGGTGACAATTCTGTTCTCGCTTTAAATTAGCAAACAACTTTACTTCAGATTATACAAGTTGAATATGTAGTGTAAAAAAAAAGGAAATTATGTTCGAGAACTCAATTTCCATTGCATTTTAACTCTTTGAGTAGCGGTGGTACATGCAACCTTTTGAACATGAATTACCCTTTAATTTGATGTTAATGTTGATTCAGTTGACTAAAAATTTGTTAGGTCTAGAAATTCCTAAATTTCTTATATGTTCAATATTTTCAAGAAATCAATTTTTATGTTACATTGAATTTATATAATTAATAGTAAAGACAAATATTTCTTCAAATAATTAATTAATTAAATTAAATTTGTGGTACAATTAAAATAAATTTATTATGATATTGAAAAATTATATGTTGTACAAAAACTTATTCAAGATTAATATAATTATGTTCATTAAATATTAGAGGTGTAACATTTATTTATTTCAAGACGTTTCAAAATGAGATCAGAATTAGTTTGATGTTGAAGTAAATGTGTCCATTTAATATTTGATTGAACGCTGGGGGTGTTACGTAATTTAAAAATTAATTTCACCAAAAACAAGAACCGTAATTAACGATTTTTCAAAATTAGTAGATGATGTGAATACAGCTGAGGTTAACTTTTTTTATTTCCATCCCCCTTAAAGACGTATTTAAGAGTACACAAAAAAAAGTATTATTTACGTGAATCCGGTTAATTAAATAAAATGGAAACGATGATTTTCGTTTAGGAAACAAATGCCGCCGCCGCCGGTCGAGTGAGTGTCTCATAATGAATGCCATTTTAACATCCTCCCTTCACGCCAAACCTCTCCCGCACATTAATATCGAATCTCCACCCCGTTTCCCGTGGTTACCCTTATTGTTTTCCCTACTTGACTGATGGCACGATTAAAGGAACGAAGAAGAAAAATAAATGAAAGGGGTTGAATGCTTGGATCCAGCGGTGGCGAACGCGTGAAACAATTTCGCCCACCCAGCAGAGCATTAAAGGAATTAATTGACCGATAAAAGCATGGACTTTGTATACGTTAAATCCCCCCCATAGACATTGGCTGCCTTTCACTTTCCGTACCTTTTTTTCCTTTCCCCAAGGATTTGCGATTAGAAACACCAGCGGGTGTCGTTTTCGCCACCCCGAAGAAAAGGGACCGCACAATGAAGAAAACGGGAATCTTTGTTGGATTATTAATGAAGTGTTGAAAATTGAATAATTCCGATTGCGGAGGTGAGAATGAATGGACGGATAGGGCAGAGCGAAAGGACATTATTTTAGCTTTCTGTTTTATTTCCATATATTTTTTTTGCTTTGATCGTTTCACCACGGGCGAACCTAATTTAATTCAATTTTCAGATTGAAAAAAAGTAAATCTTTTCGATTTTTACGCAACAAAAGGGATTGATGGGAACTGCAAATTAATTATGCAATGTTTACAAGATATATTTTCAAGAATATCGAGAAATATGAAAATACTCAAGCGACAACAACTTGACAAAATATGATAATTTTACATTCACATAAAGTTAGGTTTACAAAATTAAATGAAAAAAATTGATCAAATTATGAAATACCCTACAAATATCATGTAAAACTGTAGATAGGCTTCGTCACATTAAAAAAAAATGAAACAAATTCAGCAGTACCTCACATAGTGCGGCATCGATCAGTGCGGATTTACTACAGCAGTTCGAATATTTCAAAACAAAACATTTTCTCAGTAATATAAAAACAAATTCTAAAAAATATTACAGAACATTACTTTAATAATGATCGTTTTTGTGTATATATATATTTGCATTTATATGCATTTTAAAGTCCTTGTATGAAAATTGTTAATTATTGTAAAATTAACAAAATATATATAAAAAAAATAGAAATATTTATCCAATGTACATGCTACAATGCTATAACATAAAGTAAAATAAATACAGCTATAGTTCGCTAATTTTAATTGAGAAAAATCAACACACGTTTAAAAAAATACTAAACAACTTTATTTTTTATACATACATACAAAATAATAATAAAAGAGATTATTATTTTTATGGAATTTTACAATTAAAAGATATAAATAATACAATTTAGAATTTCGTAATTTTTAATAACTACAATTAATTAATATTAATAATGGATTCTATGAAGGAAATTTAAATAAGAAAAATCCTTGTTCACATTCAATCGTTTATGGATAAATATTTCTATAACCTTTGATTATTGAAAATATGCAGAAGTTTATTCTTAAACTAGAAAACAATTTAATATAACAATATGATAAAGTACATCTTAACTTAAGAGAATAAAAATTGGAAATTGTTGTTCTATAAAGTAGAAGAAAATTATTTCGATAAATAGTTAGTGGAATATTAAAAATTGGTAAATGAAGTAATAAAAAATGTCTTGTAATGTTTTAACCATGGTAGAAAATGAAAATTATTAAGTATATATGAAGTACATATTACCTGGATGATCATTTCATGAAAATACATGCATATAGATGTCATTATGTGCCAATTTAATTTATATATTGATTAATTTTTACAGTATTTTTAATACTATAATGTAAATATTTATAGTAACCATTCATTTAGAGCTTTCAAATAGAGTGACCAGACGTCTTGATATTTCGGGATTTGTCCCTAACTTTGGTGTCCCCTATAAGTATTTTCAGGAGCGTTCTAAGTAAAGTAAATAAATAGAAATAAAAGCTTGTGAAAGATCTCAGTTCTGTTACGATTTTTTATTAAACAAGTCTGGTTCAATGTTGACATAAATATTTTTTATTGTTAATAAATATTATCGCCTGTCCTTAGATTTATTTGTATTGTTAATATTTGTATTCTTGTTGATTAGTAAGGATTTATATTAATTAAATTTGTTCAAAAAATTAATTTTAGCTCTTTTAATTATTAAATTAATGGTAAAAGTACCAATAAATGCATATGCTGAAAAAGCGAATAAATGTTATCTATTAATATATTAACTTTTATTAAGGTTTAAGATATATATTTTTGAGATAAGATAAGGGCCCTAATGAATTATAATTTCTTTGTTAAAAAATGTACATTGATTAACTTTTACGGCATTTTATATTGCAAAATAATTATTTAAAGTATGTGCCGAAAGAGCGCATAATTTCATTGATTATTGTTATCTATTCATATATTTCAATTTTATTGTCGTTTATTTTTGTGGGTGGTCAGGAAGGTCCTTAATTAATCGCCGAATTTCCAGATCTTAAAATGATGTTCAGAAGGCTCTGGTTTTACGTATCTTCTTCCTCAACTTCGGTTCGAATGGACGACGTTCGCAGGCAGCTGCCTTCGATCTTTATCTGCTTAACATAAATTAGTCATGTAATCAAGGTGTTTATTGTCGTTTCGGTATCAAGTTCGTATCGATGCTGCTGCTGCATTTCTGTAAGAATTTAGTGACGGGACCCGTTCGACATTTTTACGTTCCGTTTTATTTGACAATATAAATGTCAGTACTTCCGTACGCACCGGCCGGGATGTCAAACTTCGAGGACGCTCTGCTGAAGACGGGTGAAATTTACCGACCATTTCCCTAATACCGTTTCACCGTTTTTTTTTCTTCATTTTCTTCTTTACATTTTCGGCTCGCATTACAGGATGGGGTCTCTACAGCAAGTTCCTGGTCGGATTCACCGCCTCCTGCTTCTTCGCAAATGCGATGGCCTTCATGAGTCTGCACATTTACATGCCCCTTATCACGTGCGACATCGCGATGTCCGAGAACACGATCCTCAACATCCACGTATCCACTTCTTTGGGTGAGTTTATCTGTAATCGATGATCTTAGATCGATGATGTTTTACATATAATAAATCTCGTGTTATTATACTAACTCTTACCTTCCGTAGGCATGGCATTCGGAGGTTTCTTCTTGAGCAGCACTTCCGATGTTGTCGGCCGCAAGGGTATCATCTCCCTTAGCTTAATGTTCGTGTTTATCGGCGCTTTGGCATCCAGTTTCACTTTCGGCATCTTCACCATAATGTTTGCCCAATTCGCACTTGGAACAGGGTAAGTCATTACAACTAGTTTTTTATCATTTCAATTTACGTATTATCACACAATTTAATTATGAAACATATCTTTCTATTAGTTTGCACACACATTAGAATTTATGTCGTTTTTGTATTCACCTCTTCACAGATCAACAATTTATTATTATCTTACATTCTTAATTTATCAACACATTCACTTCAAAAAAAAATTCTATTGATTCATTTATTTTTACAATTATGTATGTAGTGTATATTGAATTTGCATATAACTCGACACTAATTACTTACGTATGTATATTACTTAAATATGTTTACATCGATTTCTGAATTCTCTTTAAACAAATAAAAATATTAATTTGCATTTTGTAAATATATTTAAAAAATAATAATTAACAATACTCTAAACATACAGTCATTGTGTTTACCATTTTAGTATACTTATGAAGCATTTTATACTTAATTTTCAAGTAATTCAATTTTATGTTTTATCTTCTTTTAAACTTATAAACAACAAACAGAACATATATCATCAAGAAATCACTAATGATTTTTATTTTTACATTTAATTACAATTAGAGTGTAATATTTTCAGTACATATTTTTGTGTTCCCGAGAAACGTGAAATTGAAAATTCCCGGGAAAACTTCGGTAAATTCACTTCACAAAAATATAATATACAAACTGTAATTTTGAATTAAATGTCTTTATTCAGAGATATCTCAGAGATTTCAGATTTGCTATGAGTACGGTAGATTTTTTTTATATTGATCTCGAATCTTCAAATTTCCCTGTATTTACAATCTATCAATTTAATGAAATATGTGTTTCTTATGCATATGTTCTTTAATTCACTTTTCTATTTATTTTGTAAAAGATTAAGCTTATTTTGATCGCAGGCAAACGGAAATACAAATCTTCAAAATTCCCAATTAATAATCTAACTTCAATAAATTTTCAGCATTTTTTATAATATACTATAATATACGTACATATTGTTAATTAAACTTAATGTGAATCAAGAACTTATATTATTAAAATGTTAACTGATAATTAACTGATAAAAAAAAACTGTATGTTTCATATGCAAACATGTTTTTTTTTTAATTTGTTTTTCTTGATATTTAATTATCTTTCCGATTTGCTGATTATTTCTTAATTAGTTTAAAACTAGAAGATAATTCCCGGTCAAAATTCACTAGCATGCAAAATATTATTTCTGGGGTGGAAATAGAAGTTTACTTGCATTCATAATTATTTAACTTTTGGTCAACTTTGCCCTTAATTTATTTAATAATACATTTTCCGGGAACAAAAAAAAAACGTGAAAAATTACCGTCTAATTCAAATACACTTAATGTATGGCTTAATTAATGAATATAAAATACACAATGATAATTACATTCAAGTCGATTATATAAAATATTATAAATTTTAAGTATGTTCGATGTTGTTCTTATTGACAATAAATAGGTTGGTTGATGCAATTAATTTAAATTTATTATAAATATAAGTAAACGTTAAATTAAAGAAAAAAACTATTAAACGAAGCAATAATTTATATTATTAATAATAATATGAAACAAGAAAACTTTGTAGTGTATAATTTCTAAGTTATATATAGATTCCTTTTTTTTTTTATTTTTGAGCAAATTTCCAGTCCATCACTCCCGCAAAACGTACACACGTTCTATATTCGATTTTCAATCAATGTTTATTATTTCGCAACTTGCAATCAGATCTAAATCTGTCTATTATTTGTAGTCCTTCCTTCCTCTCAGTATTCTCCAAATATTACAACATTCCCAAAATAGTCTTACTTATTAACAAATAAAATATAACGAGGTTGATGCTCTAATAAATATCGTCAAACACTGTTCATATTTATACACCCGAAAAAGTAAGTAAAACTAATATAAAATTTCTATTATTTCTTAATATTTATCAACTTTTGTAAACTTATCTTAGAACAGGAACAGGGCAAAGTCCGCCTAGAGGATTTTCAAACAATTGTATACAAATTACAAATAGTATACTTTATTTCAATCACACATTTCAACCTTAATATACAAGTGTATCTCATATTCATATTTAACTTTTACCGATATACGTTGTATACAATGTATACATTAATACCGTTTATGTACTTTTACATGTTTTAACTTAACTTAAAGCACACATTTATTTATTATATATCTTTATTCGTTTTGTGTTGTAGGTTAGTGGCAAATTGGAATGTGACGAAAATTCTATTGATCGAGGTTTTACCCATTTACAAGCGATCGAAAAGCATAATATTCTTAGATATCTTCGCGAGATTGGGAACGATCGTCGCTGTCCGTAAGTAATGCATCCATTACGCATAGCTGCTGCAAGTGCGTAAGGGAATGGTATTCCTAATATCTGATCCTTCTGCTTGCTGACACGAAACTTCCAGGAAGAACAGCGTGTTTTCTTTTTTAACATTGTAAGGTGTAAACACTGGACACTTTCCACCTGTTTTATTTTTACAATCCGATCATTCTCATCGTAGTTTTACACAATAATTACGCATGTGTATATTTCCTTTATCCATTGACGTTTTTTACAGTTTTTTTTAAATAATGGTCAGTTGAAACTTTTCTCTAGAAAAATTCATTTACATTATTTTTCAATTAACTGTTTATATGCAGATTTATAAAAAATCATATTGACCGCAGTTTTTCTGCTTATTAATGAAAATAGAATAATTATTTGTTAATTAACAAATTTTTAATCTACTTATTCAGATTTTTTTGTTGGTGATATGCACATAAATTGTGTAAAGTAATTTCTATAGTTATATAAAGATATAATATAACTTTACTAATTATAAATAATTGTATGCTAATAATCTTTTGCATGTATTTAGAATCATTGACATAAGTTATTATGTTTATTATTACTATATTTTTACAATAATATCAATATACGTCACACATATTATATACATTTTATTTGCTTCAGAGTCAATTAATCTGATTAGTTTAAAAAAGGTGTAAATTGAAATAAACGAAGTCAAAATTAGGTAATTTTTTTTTGATTCGTAGCGAAGAAATATTTCTTTAACTGTATATTTAGTTATAGACAATTTGTTGTTTAAATAATGTAAAATTATTGTCAATTGCAATATATTAATTGTACACGTAATCAAGACTTCACACCAAAATATACACTATATAAAATGACATCAAAATGAATATTTACTTACGTTGGAAAAATCTATGGTAAATACACAATGTTCACTTCACTTTACCAACTACTATTTGTTTTGTGCATAACCACAGGAAATTCAATTTTATTTTAAAATACAGCATAAGTTGCAATATTTGAGAACATTGAAGAAAAATAATTTTTAAATACTAAAAAACACAACTTACATTTAATGACGTCTCTGTAAGTAAACTATTAATCTATATGTAAACAAAATACTAATACTTTCTTTTAATTAATTTATGAATAGTAAAGTATTTCTGAGTTTTATTAACTATTACTGTTAATCTATGCAAACTGGAGGAGCTTTCCAATTTTCTGATGTAAATCATCATTTCAAAATATCAATAAATAGATGACTAATAATATCAAATTCCTAGTAGATATTCCCTAATATGATTAATTATTAGTATACGTAATACACAAATGATGATGATTATTACAAGTCTTAGCTTCTAATAGTAAACCTTTCTGCCCAAATAATAAAAATCTTATAATATTAGTCATATTTTACAATAGTGAATATGTTCATTTATGAATTTGGTTTCAGTAATTTCATTTAGCTGTATGCCAGTGGTGATCGAATACAGAGGTAGTTCTGCTCGTTTGGTCAGCTGGAGATTGCTGTACGGCTTTACAGGCTTCATCAGCGTCTTCACAGCCTGTGTATCGGCCTTAATACTGGAAAGTCCAAGATATTTGGTCTACGAGAATAGACCAGCTCAAGCTATCTTCATACTTAGCGAAATCTTTGCCATCAACAAATCGAAGCTTGCCACAGGATATCCGGTAAATGTGTTCATATTATTTGAAACATTGGTATTTGATTTTTCCTTTTATTTTAGTTAACTGACGTGGATCTTCAGGGCAAGATTGCGAATTTCGGAATAAACACTGAAAGAGACATACCGCATACGTTCTCCTCGAGGAGGTGTTTTATAATACTGAAGCGCGTGAGGAAATCGATGATTATTTTGATGACTAAACAATTCTGCGGATCAATCATGCTCTGTTCGATTCTGAAATTGGCCACTTGTTTGGGGTATTTATAGTTCGACCATCCGCCCTCCATTTATTTCCTAATGCCTATAATTCCGTCGATTCGTTAACATCATTATTCTTTGTTTTTATTCCCACCGTTCGCAGTTTGTTCCTGTTAATGATGATGTTGACAAAGACGATGGTCTATAATGATGCGTGCCTCCTCGACGGGATGAATTGGCTGCATTTCGAGCATCCGCTCTACAGGGACTGCAAGGATTACAACGTCGACATCAGCATGTATAGAGATTTCCTAGTGCTCGCATCCGTGAGCGTCGTCGGACACGTGATGACCATCGTCTTCGTTTCGTACGTGGACCGGAAATATCTGGTCTGTAAGTCGCCCTCCACATCGTAAATTTTTTTCTGCGTATTCTCACGCGCTCATTTCTCCTGTTGTGTCTTTCAGTTTCTGGGTTATTTTTATCAGGACTCCTGATGTTGTCCTTGTCTTTCATCGGGTCCAGCTACACGGCCCGATTTGTCATCTCGTGCGTCGCGGTCATCGGATTCGCCACAGCTGATTCGGCGCTCAATGTTTTGACTATAGAAATGTTCCCCACTGCAATAAGGTCTTTGTTTTCAACTTCTTTTACTTCATTATATTTAAGTATATTACTATTTTTAATAATCTATATCAGTACTTTTCAAAGTTAAAAAATAACCCTTTAAAAAGCTCAAAATAACTACTACTTCTTTTCATATAATCTAAAATCACAACTTTAGACAAACATTCATAAATACAGCAAAACTTACCATAGTACGGACAATCGTAAAATTTTAAATAAACCGCACAAAAGAGACTTAACTGTAAAAAGTAAAATTTCTCAATTAAATATTAGTTTGCTTTGAAATTTTTAAACCGGACTATACTAATTCCGGACTGATCGAAGCAGTACTATGCGAGTTATTGTATTACAATTAAATTATTGTATTCGTTAAGTTAGGTAGATTTGGGTTAGTTTTATTTTTGTTTAATTTCGACAAGTGAAACGATTAATAGTGTTTGAATTTTTTTTCATTTAATTAGTAGATTAATTAATAAAAATGCTAGTATAGTATATAAATAAGTTAGATTCAAGTTATGGAATAATGAAAAGAAGTATTTATTTTTCTGTACAAAATTAATAAAATTCATTAGATTTTTTTTACATCAAATTGATGGCATGCATACTCAGGCTGTACGCCAATAAAAATAGTACATTTTCAAAGGAAAATTGTCCTTGACTGTATGCGCCAACTGTATCTACTTGGCGCAACGTTTTATTTAGAAATTAAAACAAGATTTATATGGATCGAAAGTATTCCAACTGCATACAAGAATCCTTTGTTTCTAAGAGTAAACCGAAGATTTAATTTGTTTATCAAGCAGTAACTCAGTGAAGGAAAAAAAAAGAGAAAAAACTAAATAAATTTATTGCAAGACTTTCTTTCTTAATACCTAGAAAATTTGTAATTATAAACATATATTATAATTAATTTTAGGAATTTGTAAAGGAATTTTATCCTATATCGTAAAATTAAAGTTATTGATAAAAATATTAAAAATAAAATTGTCTATAGATTCTTGTTAATATTTCTTTGTTCTTAATATATTTTAGAGGAACTTCTTTAGGCGAAATTGAAATTTTGAAGCATGTGGCTGTGACGCTTCTGGAACGGTTCATGGTAGTACAGTGTAAATGGATATTCGTAGTCTTTGCAGCACTTCTTGAAGGTAATTGTCTTTTTCAATACAATAATTAGACATATTCAGCGTTTCTCAACCTATGACAATATTGTATCGCGTTGATATTTTAATAGTTCACGAAATGACAGCTGTCACCTTACGTCAAATCAAGTGAAATTTTAAGTTCTAAACAATTAGGTCACTACATACAAATCGAGCGACAAAACGGTTGAGAAACGCTGCTTTTCATTATTAATTACTCTACAATTAATATAACTGAATATCGTAAAATTGCATTTTTTTATATGTCAACTTGACAGACACATGTCAACTTGACCTTCATGACATGTCATTCTTACCAAATTCTTAATTCTTTAAGGGACTAGATATTCTTAAATTTCTAGACTCATCCAATTTTAAGATAACTTAATTCATAAACTGAATCAACATCGGATGGTATGGTCTATCAAGATTCATCCTTTGACATACCAACCGAATTAAATGGAAATTTCTCTTTCCTATATATATTAGGCACATTCAAAAAGAGTTAAAAGATCACATATCCTTGCTTAACTTTTATAATCTAACAGTAGGAATTACTTTAACTGTTACTGAAAAAAAAATGATATTCTCATAAATATATCTCTCTTCATATAAAATAATTGAATGTAATTTGAATTGAGGCAAAGACATGTGAGCGTTCTAACCATATAAGAATTCCGCATTTCAATTTAAATATATGGCTCCATTATTAAATTGCGAAGGGCAGGTTTCCATAGGGACCACCTGGAGGTCTCCAAGAAAACCTGCTCGGACCACCAGTGGACCGCAGATCGCTCTTCAAAAAAAAATATGCCTGATCTATAACGTCATTTAAATTGTGGATAACAAATGTGCGTTTTATACTGCCAACATTAATTAAAATCTCAAATATTTCAAATAGTTTTGATACATTCGCTCGATGTGAATCATATATAAACATAGCCTACTGACTTCATATTCAAGCAAAGTTCATTTGATATAGTTTGAATTAGTTTAAAATTACTTTTTTTTTCAATATTTTACATTTAATCTTTCTTTTTTTTTCTAAAAAAAATAATTGATTTAATTATAAATTTTAGTTTATTATATTATTTACTTAAGGTTATGATATTTAAGGTAAATTTAGGTTTAATGTTAATTTACTTAATTTAGGTAATGTTACTTAGGTTTGTTTAAATTTAGTTATAAAAGGAAAGTTTTACTTAAATTTATATATAGTTATTTTTTAAAATGTTTTATTGAATCAGTTATTAGTTAATTGCATATAATTATTATAAATTAGTGTATATACAGTTAACACAATTTATATAACTTACATCTAAAGTACTTTGTAATTATATACTATTTATTTATAACTGTTATTATTTTTTGTATTGATTAAGTGAGTTAATACAATTTCTATTAACTTATATGTTATGCAAATAATTGAGTTTTGGTAGTATAATTTATATAAGAAGTAAATATTATCATACCTTTATACTTACTATACCTATATACTTTTTTAAAATTAACAAATATAAAATAATTTATTTTTGGAAATATTTAGTTCAATATTTTATGAATAAATAAATTAATGACAAAATTATCATTATAAACTGTATTACTTTATATATAATTACTTACAATATTGTTTCTTTATTTTGGTCTATAAGCTATCGACCGTAACATTTTAAATTAACAACAAATCCGTATTAAATTTGGTCTAATAAAGTGGTATTAATACTATTTTCTTACTATGAATCATCTTTTCTTCATAATATATTAATAGAATATTCTTATTTAGAATTGGTTGCACTAGTTATCAATAATAATAATCTTTTTTTTATAAAATTAATTGTACAAAGAATAATAAGTTTACTCTACGCAACATGTGGATCAAATCTATGTAGGTAACTCTTAACATAATATTATTAAGTATTAAGAAATTCGGCTCGCTGCACGTAACAATAATAATCTATTTCCATTGCGATGTGTAGGAAATAACTTTGTTTACTATGAAATAATATTTTGTGAATGTAATTTACTACGCTCGTCGATGGAAATCGATACACCTGTATTGTTTAAACCGATTTACACTAAGCCTCAAGTAATAATAATAAGTGTTTATATAACAACGGAACCGCTCCACTTCCGTTCGCCTCCGACCAATTACAGGCGAGATGAGGTATTTGTTTTTCTCTTGGCGTTAGTTAACACTCTCGTCCGATATGGGCATCGATTAATGATTTTTAATACGCGGTGTAAGAAAAATGCATAGCATACGAGCAATATTGATGAGAGCAGGAGTGTAGTAGTTAAAAGCGGGTTATTTTTAAGGTGCCGGTATGCGTACGTGTGTGTGCGTGTATGCATGCATCCATGCATCCATGTATGTATATATATATATATGAATGCATGTATGTATTCGAGTGTGTGTGTGTGTGTGTGTGCACGTGCCGTCACGGTTCGCGTGAACATATGCGAGCATTGGTATTGGTTCAAGAATAACTCGAATGTTTTCTTTCCGTATTTACAAACTTCTCAACAAATTTTCCTGCCTTCGCGTCTTCCTCTCGGCACATTTTTTGTTTTGTTGTTGTTGTTCTTTTTTACTTTTAATTCACATATTAGCGAATCACTTTAACTTTAATCAAACAATAATAGTTACTGAACATTTTGGGTTTAATTATAATATTCTTTAATAAATCGATATAAATACAAAAATAAATGCATCTCAGTTCTGGAAGAATTTAATTACAATTTTTTTATAAACTCAATTTCTCGACAGTAATTTTGCACTAAAAAAATCCACATTTTTACTATTTACATACTAGTTACGTATCATTATAATTGGGGAAATGGTTTCGATTTTCGAAGTTAAATACTTTATAGATTTTATTTAATACAAAATATTGTTGTATTAGTTTCCAAATTTTAATTATATTAAATTAAATAAAGACAAATAACTTAATTCGCAAAAAAAATACCATCGAAAATGAACTACGAAATTGTTCTTAATAATGAACATTATAAACAAATTAATACAGTTCCTGAGAAAAACGTGTAAATCGATTATTTTTAACATTTATTTATTAATTCAAAAGCGAAAACATGTAAAATGAGTGTATATACACCTGTAAATCATTCAATTATTGTTCTTTTTTTGACCAGCCAAAGTCTTTCTGTTCCAATTGTTTAATATACTACTGTTATATATAATCCATAAAATAAATAAAAATTGTTACTTTTTACAATATAGAATGAATTGGCGTAAAATATATTAATTTTATTACATATAAAGGAGAATATTGGATTTCGTTCCTTACAATAATTTGAAAAAACGAGAATAATCATAACTATATATAGTATATATTTTCTACTAGTTCATTACTCATTACTTGTAGATTTGTATTTAACACTTTTTCGTTGTCCGGGTTACAAAATATGCGTCTTATACATAAGAGCGTCTTATCCTTAAGAAAATTAAATATATTTATTACATTTCTATTTTAATTTAATATCATTTTTAAGACCTTTAAACATTATGCATAGTTTTACAGTATAGTTTGCGTAGTTTTGATATTTACATTTTCGTTGTCTAGGTGAAAAAATGAAGTTTCGTATTTTACATGAGAGCGTGTTATACTTAGGAAAACTCGATTTATTTGATACATTTCTCTTTTCATTTAATATCAATTTCAAGACCTTTCAAGTTTATATATAGTTTGCGTAGTTTTGATATGTACATTTTCGTTGTACGGATGCAAAAATTTAGGTGCTTCTTATTCATTAGAACGTCTTACACTTAGGAAAATTCGATGTATTTATTATATTTCTATTTTAATTTAATATCAATTTGAAGACCTTTCAACTTTTTATATAGTTTTACAGTATAGTTTGCATAGTTTTGATAATTACATTTTTTTCTCATTTCAATTTAATTAAATAATTTTTTGAAAAAAAAATTAATCAACCATTTTAAAAACTTTAATTCTAAGTAAATTCTTCATTAACAAATATAATTTATGGTCAAACAATACAACATTACTCTATAATATGTAATATAATATAACTTGCTGATCAAGATAAGTGTACTAAAAACGCGTAACCAGTTCAAACATCAAGAACTTGATCAATATACCCCAACCGTTTCATTTCTTTTTCTCTGTTTACATTGGACTGTCGGAAGAGAATAATAGAAATAGTTTTAAGTATATATAATTTACGAATACCTGTCTGGATGTGTGTGATTCTTTATCGATTAAATTAATTTTCTTTAAAGAAAAAATGCCCTTTTTTTCATTATTTTGGCATCCCTAATCAGATGTTATTATGGACGGTTATTCGGCGGATGAGGGAAACAGTCAAAAGAAAATCAAAATAATTGGTGTCACTCTTTTCAATGCGGCCCACGGTAGCCCTTGGCACGGCACACTTTTCCTTTGTCATTGCTCCGAAACTGCATACCTACCACAGTAGAAAAAAAAAGAATACCAAGTAAAAAATATTTTTGAGACTTTTTTTATTTCTAACTTTGGACTTTTTATAAAAAATAGTTTCATCGTATATAAAAAATTGAAGATACAAATAATACAACACAAATCTATATGTTATATTTCTTAAGTTTTTTTTTATTTCTTTGCTACAGTTTCTTATTTTATTTTTTTATAGGAAATAAATGTGATTCATATAATATTTGCACTCAATAATAATTAAAAAGTATACAAATTGTCCTTGTTACAAATCAATTTAATTCATATATAGGTGTTACATAAATTCGGGCTTTTTTTTCTAAAATTCCTATACATTTTTAAACAATACAGGTATCCCGTCCCAAAGGGTCGTAAGTCGAATTTGTTCGTAAGTTGAGGGAATTCAAAAAATCAAAATATACTTATCTTACCACTCTTTATCATGGTTTTTACTTTTATGTATGTTAAATTTCGTATTACTGACTTACTTTTACTTTTCAATGCAGACATCACAATTATTTAATGAAAAAACGATAAAAGATTTTTTGTTTGGACAGTTATTTTTTATCACTATATATCTCCTTGTAACAAGTTAGAGCTTTTAGAATTTTCTACGTAAGACCGGGAGTTCTGCTAAGTTTATATAAAAGTCAATAGATGGCGATCCAAGCATGTGCCGTCGGTACAGGAACTATTTACTGGAATACTTAGTTAATTACATAAAAATAGTTTCATCCCATATAAAAATTGCAGTCATTGATCAATCTTTACTGTTATTTTCTACTCCGTTGATGATACAAATAATACAACACAAATCTACACAATTTTCAAATAGGAAATAAATGTAATTTAAATTCTAATAAATTTGTACTCAATAACAATTACAAAGTATACACATTGTGTAATATCATAGAAATCAAGCATAAATCAATAATATTATTAAATTACACTGAAAAATATTTTATGTTTAATATCATTGAATCATATATATAATATTACAAATTTGGTTAAATTATTGGCCATATTTATAATTAATTGAATAACAATAAAAGTTAAAAAACAACTTTTGACTAAATATATAAATTTAAATTATTCTTTGCTAATATTTTACAAAATATTCCTATATATTTTATACAATAATTGGAATCACTCAGGAAAGTTTGTATAAAAGTCAATAGATGGCGATCCTAGCGTGTTCCGTCGGTACAGTAACTCATTGATATAAATCAATTGAAAAATATTAGTTGCTTATGACATGCCAAAGCATTTGTTGAAATTCTATAATATATATGATTGTTATTTTTGTTTTGTTTCAGTTGGTGCAATATTTTCTCTGGCTTTACCGAAACTGAAGAAACGCGCTCTGTATGATTAATGGCGTGGATTGACCAGGAGCTGCAGGGATCACAGACGCTGCTGCATAAATAACAATCGCAAATCCTGGAAACTTTTCGCTGTTTTTTTTTTCTCTCTGTTTTGTTTTTCTTCTCGTTTCTTTATATTTTCACGGAAAGCCATCAAACGGTGAATCCGTGCATGCGTGTGGGATCGTGCAAAAGTAACGATGATTTATTCATGGGATTAGTTTTAATTTAATTTTATGATTTATTAAGTTTAAAAAACGAGGGAGAAAAACAAAACTGCTCAGATTGAGCGAGACATGTTTCGATAAACATACTATTTTCCTTTTTCGCTTGATTTATTATGTTTTGTGGCAGAAAATGAAAATAATAAAAGTAACGTTTAATTTTAACGATTTGGGTCAAATTCGTTGATATCACGTTTTTAGTAAGTCTATAATATTATTTCTCTACTTAAAGACCTTCAGGACAACATAATTCACAGGCTAATACAATAAATGACCACATAGTTACAACCTATATTAACAAATTAAACTCGCCAAAGAATGCAGAAAATCATAGACAACTTTAATGTTGAAACACACGTCTGCTTTTCGGGACATCATGTATATGTTGTAATGTTTGATGTTGTTGTTTGGGAACGGGAGTCTCATAAGAGTATGAATCAGGAGACTGCCGGTTCATTCATCATGAAGGGAGGATAGACCGTGTTCGGATAAACTTTATCATTCTCCAGCCGAATAATGCCACAGAATTAATTATTATTTGTTTCATTTTGAGAAGATTTACTTTTATTTGGTTTAATTTATAATTTCATTTTGTTATATTTACATATATGTATTTTTTTCAGAATGCATTTTGCATATCAACAGAAAACAAAATGCTTCTGTATAAAGCTATTCTAATACAGAGATTCCAGTCCAAAACGCTGAGGAAAATTACCAATGCTCCATGGTTCTTCACAAACGATGACGTCCATAAGCAAGCTAACATTAGTTTCGTCAAGGAAGAAATAGCAAAGGCTAGCACAATATACCATCATCGGCTAGAGAATCAACCAAACCAACTGATGCATACTGCAGATCATCGTTGAAGACTGAAGAGGTTTAAACCGCAAGACTTACCCAACCGATTTTAATAATCAATCTTTGCAAGTGCATAAATAATTATTGCACATGTGAAGTGGGGTTGCTGGATCATCTCTTCATTAAGTATTTAAGTTTCTTATATCTATGTCAGATGATAGTTGTTAGTAATTAAGTAATTTTGTATAATATTTCAAATATATGCAAAGTTTAATCAATATATGGAAATTCAATTACACATATTTAAATTAAATTAAAATAAAAACAAATTACATACTTAATTACAGACATTAAAAGTATGCTATCACATTAAGAATGTTTGTAACAAAAACTCTTGAATATAAAGCATAGAAAACTAATTGGTGTCTACTGTAAGTATAAATCAGAATACTTAAGGACAGAAATAAGTAGTATTCTAATCTATTACAAAAATGTCTACTAAAAATATCAGATAATATAAATGTATACCATACATTAATTAATAAAGAAGAAATGCAATGATTTTTGTTTAATCTTTTATTTATAATATTTACCAATATTTTTTTACAAACAAAAAATTATTTTGTATGAATGGCATAAAGTTACATTATTTAATTAAGCTTCATATAAGTATTAACGAATAGACTGAGTATCACAAAATTACTTCGCAAAGCGATACTTCGTTTTCTCTTTCATATATTTGGCTATACGGAGTTATTGCATTGAACACTAATCACTTAGCAATAATACTTCTTCCCAAAACAGGATCATATTCACTAAACTAAATTTATTCTTCATTTTGTTTGACTTTCTTGCTAAGAAGTTACTTTAAATCTTCTAACAACTTCTTCATCGTCACTTTAAAGGTTAATTGAGCCAGCTATATGGTCATATTTTGCGTCTAATTCTATCAATATAACATGTAATAACTATGTTTTCCAACAATTGCAAGTTTTGTTATAAGAGGTAACGTTAATAGACGTCATCATTATATGATATAGAACTCATAAGAATTAAATAATGATCATACATTACTACTGATGAAATAATTACTGAGAAAATTAATTAAACATCATTTAGTTTCCTAAATAATTGTATATATTTAGTTTAGTTTACTTTTTATTATGAAATTATATTTTATTAAATTAAAGAGAAACCCTTTTCCTTACGCTAGAAATAAATACTTGGTCAACTACTCTTTTTTTTAATATTGTTGTTTAATGAGATGTTTTGCTTTCTTATTTTTCATTAATTCGTTAAGAAAATAATTTTTTTATTAGGTAAATTTATATTGTATTTAGTATTAACTGTTATATTATAAAATTGTTTATAATTTATTTAATATTGTTTTGTGCTTCTCAAAATATATTTTCTAAACACTATAATCGTATTTTGAATTGAGTATTTATGTTTATTGCAGTTATTATGTGAACAGAGGAAAATAATTTGCTAATATTAATAATTTCGATATTTTGTGTAACATCGGTATATATGATAAATTGTATACATCCGCGGAATCGCGTATGCGTTCGCAGAACGCTGAAGTATTTCTCAACACATTGAACTATTAATATGTAATAAATTATGTACAAGCTTTTTAGGTTAAATCAACAATTTTTCGTACTTTACAGCAGAAAGGTTGCGTGAGAAAAAACATTCTGGGAAGTTGTTTGTAAAATTAAAAAAAAATAGATGTGTATAAGTATGAATATATGTGTATACTGTATGTATATATGTATGTGTGTGCGATCTCGATTATGAAGTAATGTTTAAAATCACTTAAATTTAGTTGGCCTAGAATGAAGGAAAGACTTTTTGGAGAAGCGGGTCATGAAAACAAATAGCCAGAATGAGTAAAAACGCGGAATATTGAGCAGATGGCAAAAATATAAGAGAATCATGGTTATATTTATCATAATTCCCGTACAATTTCGGAGGAGGAAGAAGCAAAGACTGAGTGGCCAAATGGTCGGATGGAATGCCGAATGCAAATGCAGGTTGATCTTAAAGGAGAGGAGTGTGGAGTGGGTTGGTACCGTGTGCCGAATGCTATATCTGTAACGACGTTCGGTTAAACGACGTCGACGTCGCCGCCGCCTCCCGTCGGAGACGACGACGCTTTGGGCCCGGTCAGTCTCGGCCGTCGCGGCGCCTCAAGATCCACAAGGCTCTACCCAACGTTCCTCGCCCACTTACATAAACGGATGCAAATACAAATGTTCGTCGCGCATTAGAGAAATAAGCAAATAATTGTGTCGACCATCCATTCGTCCAAACAAAGTTAGTTTTCGTTCTGTTTTAAAGATGTGATGCCATTTAGAAGATGAGCAAAGTGAATCCCGTCTCCCGATCGACTAGTGTTTCATCATTGGATCAGCTTACACAATCGAAGCAGCGCGGCAAGCAGCGGAAAGTGAGCCGCGTCCGATTGCCGACGCCGCCGCCGGATCCAAATCTGCAGGAGGATGAGGCGAAGAGCAACAAGGAGGTGCTGGACTACCTTGAGTCCTTACAGAGATCGCAGCCGCATCCTGCTCTGTCGCGATCCACTTCCGCTTTCGCGCCCGCCATAGCCGCGGAGGATGCCTTCGACCACCTGGACAAGCTCTACAAGCTCATGGAGCAGATGCTGACTCTTCGCGAACAAAATGTTCTTCTGCACAGGAGGATCATGGATTTGGAGCGGTTCCGCAACATGCAGGATATGAACAGGAAACTCGATTGTGCAGAGGAAGTGCCCGACTGCGATCCAGACTCCGAATTCGCCGAACATTACCTATACAATATCCTCACCGAAACTAAGAAAGATCCTAAAGCTAAACCTCCACCTCGCTTCCGCCAATCCATCCTCCGCAAATCGCAACGTGCGCGCACCCAATCCGCAAGCGAAGAACCTCAACAAACGGAGCGACGAATATCCATCGATAAGCAATCAAAAGTGTCCAAATGGACCAAAGTTAAAGCGGCTTTCAAGTGGGAAAAGGCTTCACCGACAGTGAGCGATGCGAAGTCGCAGGACAGCGGATTGGGAAGCATGCAGCCCGTCAATTACGAGATGGCAAGGTACCTTCGGGTGCCATCAACCTCGGAGGAATTGGGCACGAGTCCGGCGGATTCCGGCGCCGCGGAGATCTCGACCCCCGGAACCCTATCTTCAGCCTCGTCCACTGAAGACCTGCACCACAGACACCACGGTAAAATCCGTTTCCGTCCAATGACACACGAACGCGAACTCTATTTATACACGCAATAATACAACCCGCTTTAATTAACACGGAATCGCTTTATTTTTAGTGCGGAGGCGAACTCAAATCGAAGATACCTCCGACGATGAGCCGTTCTTTACTTATGACATTCCAAAGGTAATTTTTAACTCTCGAAAGGATAACAACAATGTCTATAACGCTTTAAAAAATAAATTAACCAACCAGGAAGAAACTTCTACTTCGAGCGGCAGGAAAACACACAAAACGCCTTGGGAGAAGATGAAGGATATACTTCAGACGCAGACCAGGAACAGCTTCAAAAAGAAGCACCGGCTCAGCGCGAAAAGCGATGATTTTAAGATCGATCTGAGCATAGGTAGTGACAATGAGGACGTGTTCGAGGATCCGCCAAAAAGTCCCAGGCTTATCGTGCAGAGTCCAGAGGAGATCAGCCTTGAAAACGAAGCTTTATCACTAGAACACAATATTCCAATTGACATAATCGCAAGGTATCAAGTCTATACCGATGATAATGTAAGATACAATCGCTTTCACTACAAATACCACCACTCATCTACAAATAATTACATTTCTAGTCATCGAAATGGGATAAAGTAAAAAAAGCCTTCTTGACACATACACGAGATGATACAATACCTGCCATAAGACGAGGTATACTATTATAATATTAGTCATCCTCTTACGACGCTCTTATCGCAATTTATTTATTAAACAACTTATTTCTTTACTTCTCAACTTACATAAGTCAATATCATTTTGAAAATACAAAGAAGAGAAAATAAGCACGATAATATACTTGAATCATGTTTTAAATTCATAGATTTTAAGCTTCTTTACTTCTTAAAAAAGTCATGAACATTACTGTTGTTTCTTCCAAAATAACACAATATAATTTTATTAAAAAATATTTATTATTTATTTTTGTCATCTTTAAAAGTAAAGTAAAGCAAATAATATAGATACAGCGTCGTAATTCGAGGACTCTTTGTATTTAATGAAGTAATAAATTATTTATTTCTTCAGAGCCAAATCCAACGAAAGAAAGTGACGAAAAGTTGCACGCTGAAATCCAAAAGAATTACATCGAGCTGCAAAAGAAACTGTCACAAGAGTTTCAGGAGAAACTGCAGGAATGGGAGAGAAGCAAGCTGAATTCACCGTGCGCCTCGATAGGATCTACGACGCCGCAAATTCCTCAAGAGGAAACCAAGGATTTGGCGTTCAAGAAGAAGATGGAGGAATGGGAAAAGATCAAAAGTCAACCGAAGCATATGCAGCTACAGAGCGAGGAAAATTTACCACCAGAATTCCGAAAAAAGTTGCAGGAGTGGAAAAAGATTAAAAAGTCTTCGATAAAAGAAGACAGTGCAGGCAGTAGCGGTTGCGGTGCGAAGAGAAAATTGTCGGATTGGCCCAAATGGAAATCCATAAACACGACTCTGGATGCGCAACAATTATCTGATGATTTCCTGAAGAAGTACGAGAGTTGGAAGCAGATAAAGGCAGGCACGACTACACCAACGGAGGAGATGGAGAGTCGAGGGTCCTTCAAGACTCCAAGTCCGAGGCTGATGAGGAAGGAGGGTTCAACGAAGAAGATCAAAGAGCAAACTGGGAAGGAGCTGCAGTGGTTCGAGAAGGAATTGGGGAAGATCGAGAGGGAGAAACAACGGTTGGAGAGGGACAGGCAGAAGTTCTTGGATCGCGAAGAAAGGTATACGAGGTAAATCGCTTAAAAAGTGTGAGTGATTATTGAATTTGCAGATTGGCTAAATTGAGAAGATCTGTGGGCGGTGGAAATAAGAAGGAGATTTTAGTACACACGCCTTCGGGTTTTTACAGATTTGAAGGGATCTCGAGGAAGTTCACGCAAAAATTGTACGAATGGGAGAAGGCGCAAGGCATCGGACCAGAGGAGTCTACGTTCGCACTGCTCAAGTCTTCATGCATTCCTGACATCCGTGGAATGACTTGTAAGACTTTACTCATTAAAACCAGAATAAAATCTTTGATTATTTCGTGATTTTAGCTGATTCAAGCTCAAACTTGATGAGATCGAAATCGGCCGACAGCATAATGAATCCGGAAATGAGTACAGGGTGTCCTCTCATGAGCCAACAACCCTCCAGCCTCTCATTAAACGACATGGAGAACTTGGAAAAGGATATTATCATAGACGATAATCTTTACCTCGAAGAACCGGAAGCCTTAATAGTCGAAGTGGAGGATGTCGTAGAAGAAACGGCGTCTTTTTTGGAGAACTACATGGAGAAGCACATACCCGTGTACCAGAAGCAAGAAACCTCGAATATGTGGTCTGTTTATTATTGTGATAATTCTTCTACATTTCTCTTTCACGAAAAAGTGTTGTTCCAGCGAAGGGGAGACGAAAGCTGCCCCGACAATACGACGAAGCGAATCAGCCAGGGCCCAGGCTAATTATAACCTGATCGAAGAAATAATAAACTTGCTCAGGGGTCTCATCGACAACGAAAAGGACATCGAGTCAGTTTACAAAAAATATATATATACATATTTTAACATAAACATTTGCGTCAGCCGAATAATATTTGAAATTCTCTAATTTTAGACACATCGAGGACGAGAAGATGAAAACGGATTCGATTATAATTATTAATAGTGATGATGATGTCGACGTAAAAACGCTGAAGGTAAATAATTGCGAAAATCGTAGTTTTGATAATCGCAATTATGCATTTTAGGAAAAGCAGACGAAGCAGAGGAAACTGTCCGGATTGCTTTTGGGGAAGCTGCAGATGCTGCAGGAGGCCAACAACAGCGTGGCCGTCAATCTTGCCAAGGAGGATGACAAGAATTCTGCGAGACTCGTCGATGTCATCGATACCGTTCAAGATTTAAGTTCTGAGATTTACAATTTGGTAAGTGTAATTCTATTAATGTTTTCTTAAAGAATACCTAACTAAATTTTGATTCAATTAGGCGGAAAACATAGATAACAGCATTTACAGACGGTGCAAGAATCAATTGGAATCGGATATCATTAACTCTTCCGCTCAACTCTATCCGCAGATTTGCGAGAACCTCGGAGGATTGAATAACAAGATCTTGGAACTGCGACGAAACCTCAGCTATATATGTGCCGCTTCTGGTAAGTAACCAAAAATAACCAATTTTTATATATAAAGTTTGTTTATTATCAGAAAATGTTAAAAAAATCTTTTAATAGTAAACTAAATCGTTACACTCAGTATATAATTTTAACTTCCTTATTTTCTATAAAATGTATTTATCTTAATTATTAATTATATTATTTTTTTCGTTTCAAATTATATGTGTTCATATTGCATTTTAATTGAAGTTAAATTCTAAATGATGAATATAAACATATTCTCTGTTATATTTCAGATATGTCAGTAGCATCGTGGAGGAAAAAGGTGGAAAGGAATTCATTAAAGAGGGTTCCATCAGTTGATAGAAAGAGAGTTATCTTGAGGAGGTCGAAAAGTAAAGAAGATTCTCCCAGTGAATTGAGGAAGCAAGTGGAACAAGGAGCTATCAAGAAGAGGATCCGTTATAGACAGAAGGGGATACACAGCAGGACGCTGGATGAAAGCGATGACGACGAAGAAGAAATCCCAAGGAAACCGAACAAACCTCGACGGATTCGTTCTCAGAATTCTACGGAGAGCAACAAGAGCATACAGGAAACCAAGTTGGAAACGAGAGTAGAGGAGAAAGAGCTTAGCCCTGTTTTGGTAGATCCTGTTGTTGCTGAAAAAGTGATTGTACCAACGAAAACGACAAACTTCCTAAACTTCGAAGAACCCTCGCAGATTAATGAAACACAAGATTCTCCAGTTACTCTATTCGTAAAGACAACCAGAAAGTTGTTTACTCCTATAATAGCTACTCAAATAACAACCCCTCCAAATACTCCAACTACGTGCAAGAAGCAAGATTCGATTCTAGAGAATCAGGTGAGAAATCTACCGCCGTTACCAGCATCTCCAACGCCGCAGCGTAAAAATAAGGAGATATCCCCGAATATACGCTTGATGATGGTTAAGTACAATCAGAAGATTGCCGACGATGTGCCTAGATCTGGAGGTAGCAGTGGTTCCGCTTCGCCTGTGGCTTGGCGCTCTCCAGTTCTTGAAAGAAGAGTTAAAGCGCAAACAGAGAAATACCAGCAGGATTTGCAGAAAATGTCTCCGCTTTTGGGTGGTAGACGGGAGGTGCAGAAAAGTGCGAGCATGGGTTTGATGGTTTCCGGTAACAAGCAAGTGACGATACATAGCAACATGGGAACACCTGAAAACTCTCCGAAGCCTACTACCAAGGGTATTCTGAAGTCCTCAAGCACAAGCGTCATCCACGCTAAGAAACCGGAAACGAACTTCACGCCTCTGCCGGAAATCACCGAGAAGCGGAACGTTAATCTGCACTTGAACATCTCACAATCCGTATGCGAGCTGTGCGACGAGCGAAGCATGAAACTGAAGAAGGCCAAGGAGGAGTTCCTGAATTCGCCGCCTCCATCGGCTCCCGTTCTCCTGAGGACGAGTCCCATCAAGTATCCGGCCAAGAACCGTTTGAGCCAGATCAGCGTGGGTAGCGAGTCAAGCTGCACGTCCTCCGCCTACGAAGGAGTCCTCATCAAGTCCGCGAGTGCTGGAATGATCAACATCGCGCCGGACGCCTACAAGCAGTTCGATCCAGAGGTTCACGCGGACGGATACGTATCCCTGCCAAGAGCAGCAAAGAAGTCGAAGGAAAGTTTACTATCGAACATAACGTCTAAATTTAGAAAAGTTAAAATGAGAAGACATAAGGAAGCGAATCGAATGGTCGCCGTTCCGACGCTCTGCAGACAAAGTCTGGTCGTCGATATCAGCGCCAGCCAGGAAACACTGAACGAAGCCCAAAGCCGTCTCTCTCTTCCGGGCGTCGACTCCAGAGGAACGTCTTCCGGCGAGACGTCACCCACGTCCTCGCGCACCGGAAGTTGGATCAAAAAACTCAAGCCTAAACCCTAAACGCGCTTAACTAACACACTAGTGGATCCGGTGTTTTCATAGACACCAATGTTTAACCGTACCAATTATCATAGCAACATAATAATAATAAACCCATGAAAACACCAAACCACAATTTAAAAACACACACAAAACAAAAATAAACATACACACATACACAAAAATATATGAAACGAAACGCATTTAATTATATTTCTATGTTTTAATAATAAAATAAATGATAGACATTACATGTGCGGGGGTGTTTCGCAAATGCATTTTTAATTTCGGAGCGCGCCGAACCGTAAAGAAGAAGTTAGAAAGGCAAATTGGAAGATTGCGGAGCGGAGTTCGCTTCCTGTTTGCAGAATAATGTTCGGAAGATCCGAAAAGCCACCGATGCCACCCCGACGCCGGTAATTGCACCGGATATAGGGATTTGAACGATTTTTAAATATGGGTATTTTTGGTACGAGCCAACGTTCATCTAAATTTCATTTAATTTCTACCTTCAAGTCACAACATTGCCGCCAATTCTAATGGATTTTCTTTGCAAAATTGATTATAGTTTTTCGTACAAACAAAAACGTACCTTCCCTTTTAAAAGTTCCAATTTATTTATAAAAATCAAATTTAACGAAAAAATATAATCTGAATAATTTCCATTTATTCATGAGAAATTAATAATTATATCAATAGTCCCTATTATTTCAATTTTAGATATAAATATCTAATTTAATAAAAATATTCACATGTAAACTTAGATATTTTATAACTGTAATATAGTTTTATAACTACGGAAATATTATAAAATCAATGAAGAAACTAATTATTAAAAATAAAATAATAATAAATTTATAAATACTTAACATCATATTGACTGAAATTATTAAAAAAGTGAAGGATTATTGTGATAACAAAAATAAAATTAAAAATTATTTCGTTTATATTGTAATACATAATTCATTACCAATTAACGAGTTTCAATAAAATACAAAAGCAACTATAATACAATATTTCATATAATATAATTGATTTACTTGTAAAATAATCAAATGCAAACAGAATACGTTTTAGTACTTTTCATTTTAAAAAGATAAAGATGTTTATAAATCTGATTATCAATATGTACTAAGTAATTAAGTAATGATTGCATTTTAACTTTCATGTGTCTATGTTACAAATGTTACGTAACGGAAAATTAAAATAATGTTTATTATCCGATGTTACTAAGTTTTTTCATAAAAATATAGTTTAAATGTTTAACCAATCAAAGTTAACATGCTTTTACTAAGTATACTATTTTATTCCAAAGTTGCAGTACTGTAATGTATGCAACCATATAAGTATTCAAGCATACAAGAAAATAAATTTATATAACTGCAAATATCTTAAATATTTAAGAATTCTCTGTAGGTGTCTTCAAATTCACGGCTTTATTTAAATTGTATAACAAACAGGTCGTATTTTCGAATAGTTTAAAAATAATGCATGTCGTTCTGTCAAATTCCTGATCTATATTACATGATGTATATTACATTATTAGGAAATGTCAAAATTACAGATACACTAGGTTTGAAATAAACATCGTATTAATAAAGCTGCACATAAATCATGTTATCCAGAGGATTCGCCAGGTCGAACAATATAGTCAGAAGCCACATCCAGTAAGTTTTATCTATCCACATTCGTCCACTTACTTGGTATTTCTAGACCGTGCTTTTTTTAGGTTATGGAGGCCCGTTCGAAGCTACACAAAAGATGCAAAAGAAGGCACCCAAAACGAATTGGCGAACAAAATTGTCACGGACATGCCACCTATGGACGAGCCGGTCAAGGGGCTTCCTAATGCCGTTTACGCCACATTCAAGGAATCCAATCAGAAAACACAGATCACAGTATTGCCCAATGGTCTAACTGTTGCTTCTGAAAACAGATTTGGAGAGTTCTGCACAGTTGGAGGCATGCATTCTTTCAATACACAAAAAATAACAATCATTAATCTCTTGTTTGTTGCAGTTGTCATTGATTCTGGTTCAAGGTATGAAGTGGCATACCCCAGTGGAATTTCTCATTTCTTGGAGAAATTGGCTTTCCATGTAAGATCTCTTCCAGTTCTATTTATTTTAAATTAAATGTGTTGGGGATTTTTAGTCAACCAGCAGGTTTGAGGATAAGGATCTGATGATGGGCACTTTGGAGAAGCATGGTGGAATTTGTGACAGTCAAGCATCTAGGGACACCTTCATCTATGCAGCATCTGCATACACACAGGGTTTGGATGATGTTATGCAGATGCTTGGGGAAGTCATCCTCAGGCCTAGGATCACCTCAGAGGAGTTGGAGTATGCAAGGCAGGCAATTCACTTTGAGTTGGAAACTTTGGGCATGAGGCCAGAACAGGAAACCTTATTAATGGACATGATTCATGCTGTAAATATCTTAAATTATCTTCATTTAAATTAGTTTAATTTGTTGTAATTGCAAACAGGATTCTTGTAACTACATTTTTCGGGCTATTATATTTTCTGATATACGTTTTTTTTCTGCTGAACGTACTCAACGTTCATACAAACGTACACTTCGTCATTAACTAAAGAATTATAGTTTAAGTCAGCGTTGTAAAAGACAATGGATAATATTTAATTTCTTTTTTTTTAAGGCTGCATATAGAGACAATACTCTGGGATTGCCAAAGCTGTGCCCTCAGAATAACATTATGAAAATCGACAGATCAATGATTTTCAACTACTTGAAGCAACACTATACACCAAAGAGGATGGTAGTAGCCGGAGTTGGTGTGGATCACGCTTTATTGGTGGATGCGGCTCAGAAGTATTTCGTTGATGCCACGCCTGTTTGGGAAAACGATTCGGAAGTGTACAAGGGAACTTCAGTAGACGAAAGCGTCTCCCAATATACAGGTGGAATGGTTCAAGTAAGTCAGAAACCACTTTACATCCGTGTTATACGTCTTCAGTTGTTTTAAACTCTAGGAAGAATGCGAGATTCCACAATTTGCATCTGCAGGTCTTCCGGTATTATCACACGTCATGATCGGCTTAGAAGGATGCTCACACCAAGACAAAGATTTTATACCCATGTGCGTGTTGAATATGATGATGGGAGGTGGCGGATCTTTCAGTGCCGGAGGCCCCGGCAAAGGCATGTACACAAGGCTCTACACAAACGTACTCAACAGGTAAATTCACTAATATTTAGTTTGAAGAGATATCCTGACAATGATTTAATTTTTATGTAGATATCATTGGATGTACAGTGCCACAGCTTACAATCACGCATACTCCGATACTGGTTTGTTCTGCATCCACGCCAGTTCACCGCCAAACCAACTCAGAGAGATGGTCGAAGTTATTGTCAGGGAAATGGTCGCCATGGGAGGATCCGTATCTGAACAAGAACTGAGGGTATGGAAATAACTTAATTTTATTATTCCCTTCTTTCTAAATACTTTAAATGAATGTTTTTAGAGGGCGAAAACACAATTGCAATCTATGCTGCTTATGAATTTGGAGTCAAGACCCGTGGTGTTTGAGGATATCGGCAGACAAGTCTTGGCTACTGGACATCGGAAAAGACCGAACTTCTTCATTGACGAAATCGGTAAGTTAATATTTAAAATTATAAATATAGCAATTCTACTAAGTAAATAATACAGAGATACCTCGAATAGTCCGGGAAATCGGTTTAGATAATATCCCAGATTGTTTGAAACCAGACTAATCGAGGTACTATTTCATACCAAAAATGGTTTAATAAAGAGACTTCATTGTACAATGGGGGATAAACCTATCAATTATGTATACACAAATGATTTTATGTACTATTTTTCCGTAAACCGGACTATGCGAGGTATATTGCTGTATTTACCTTCCAACTAAACTATCTTTTTTTTTTTTTTCAAAAACATGTCAAAGTACTTGCGTATGTATCATTTAAGAAAAGAATTTACAAATACTTGCACAAGTTGTCAAATTGACGTTTTAGAATTATCAAAACCTACAACATAATTACTGAATCATCATCATTAATAATACAACATAAATTATGTAACTAAACAAATTAATTATAATTAAAATAATTAACATATTTTATGGTTCTCAGTTTTGTAGATAAATCGATTGATTCCATTAATTATTTTTTGGACATATTTTCAAGAAAGAAAACTCCTTGAAGTCGATTAATAGTAATTTATGGTTTGCCTAGAAATCGTTTAGCAGAATATTTACACTAACCAATTTTAACAATTCTTCGACCTTTGAAGAAATTAAATCACTTTAAAATCTTTATTTTATAAATGTTTTTGTTTGTTCTATAAACTTTTCACATTTGTTTTATTATTAAGTTTACAATTATGAAAGACCGTATTTTTGCATGATAAAACCAGTACCGCAACATCTAATATCTAATTTGCATCAAGAAAACAAAGGTGCCAAATATTAAAAAAAAACAATGCTATTACCTATTATTTGCGTCATTGGCGCCGCACATTTAATGCTGTTAAATTTTATGATGTAAAACGTGTTTCACTATACGAGTAAAAATCCGGATATTTTGGAACGGATTAAACTCGTTAAGTAATACTGAATCCAGTATGAACGTATGGTTCCAATTGTGGGGTGCGGCCAGTAAATCGAACATACAAATTATACAAAGGTTCCAATCAAAATTCATAAGAAATATTATTAAGGCTCCGTGCTTCGTCAAGACTAAAAAAAAACACACGAAGATCTTCATATATGGTCGAAGACAGCAACACTTAGTAGTAGATACCAAGATAGACTGGAATCACATACTAACGTTCTGGCTATTGGCCTACTCGACAACAGTGAAACCACAAACATGCTGAAGCGTTGCAAACCACTAGATTTTGTATATAGGTTTAAGTGATTATTAATGTTAAAAATCATCACAATGATAACTATCCACCGGGAAAGATTATCCATTTAATGTCAACCGCGATCTTAAATTTACTCAATGTTCACATTGATGAACAGATTTTGAATAAAATTATTGGAAATTAACCATTATGTATTTCTGTTTAGAAAAAGTGAACAAGGATCAGATCATGGAGGTGGCGAAGCGACTACTAAGCACACAACCCTGCATCGCGGCCCGAGGAGATTTGAGAAGGATGCCACCGTTGGATTACGTTCAGGCAGGTTTCCTGAACGGCGAGGGTAAAATGCCCGGCCGCAAGTTATCCTTGTTCCGGTAAAAAAATTATACTACCTGGATACTTTTAAAGAACTCTTTCCATTTCTTTTATAAATAACTGTTATTCGATAATACCCCCCTTCCCCCAAACAATACTTATAATAAAGAAGAAACTCAGAACATATGATGCAATTGGATTCATCGTAGGTAGGTAGAAATAGGATGTATTGATTAGTAGTGAGACTTCGTCAACGTTGGTGTCTTCTTAATATCTAATACATATTAGAACGTTCATGATTCAGTGCGCTGCTTCAGTATATACCGCTTGTTTTAAACTGGTTTTCCCCCGTACAGAACTGACTATTGAATGTAGATAATATTTATTTGTTGAGTTTTGAATAAACTGAACTTTTCTTAGTTTGTTTCTTTAATTTTGTTTTATATTATGCATAGCAGGTCAAACTCAAAGGCTAACTTGGGCCAAACAAACAAGCGTTACTTTAGGTGGGCCATAAAAAAAAATTGTGATTTGGTTCACAGGATACGGCAAAATCGTAATCATTTTTTTTTTACGATAAATCAGTTGGTATGAGAAGTTAGCAGAGCCTGAAAGAAGAAAATTTTTCGTCCGAAATCGGTTGAATTCGGATATGGTTAATAATAATTAAACTTATTTGGATCAGAACAAACTCGGTTAAAAGTAGTCAAGCAGTCGCGGTTCTAAATGTAAATAGTGCGAAAACGTTAAAGCAATAAAAACTATTTGAACGGATAAAGGATTTTGTGTTGTTTGAAATTTCAAATTATTTGGCGCTATATTTGCTGGTACTTGTGGCGCCGCACTATGTGCTTTCCATGTACTAAGGAACGCCACCGCAGTGGCTATACAACAGATTTCTCATATGACTTGGTCACCCTGATTTAATTGTTTTGCATGCTGAAAGAGCTTAGGCTTAAGCGTCATACTGCTTTTACTTATGTAAAACCCAAATATGTAACCCATTTCACATATAAATAAATACATTTGAAACTATTTAATTCTTTACAAATCGTTGCATATTATTGCACTCTGAGTAAAATTTACGCAAATCAGTTGTTTTTACAGCAAAATACTGTTAATAATTTAACAATCAATAATTTAAAAATCTATATTTTCAGCTTTTCGTTCAACAACAAATTACTGTTAATTATTTAACAGATCAGAGCATTTTGTTTGAATTTTTTTAAAAATTATTTCAACATTTTTCATGTGTAAAAAAGTTAGTTAGTTATTTATGCTTAAATAACGTATTTACCTAATTGTGTTATTTTCAAAATAAATGTACGCATTTTGTTTAATCTTATTTTTATTCTGCGTCGGTTTATTATTTTATTATATATTATTGTGTATTATTGTGCAGATATATTGGCCGGGTCGCATAAATGTTAGTTGCGGGCCGCATGCCCTTAATGTAGACTTTAACCGATATATCACAAAAAAACGTTATAAATTTAATTTTATTACCTTAATTTTATTTAAAAACAGTTAAAACATATTTTTTCATTTGAATTAATAAAGCAACGTTCAAGTAAGTTTCAAGTCTGTAAGTGTTTTTGCGAAAAAAACTTGTATAAGTAGATAATTTATATGATACATCCAAGTACTCTTTCTTGAAGTACACAATTGAACAGTCATACCTCCGTTATCTCTGACAGCGAAATCCGAAATTTCAAGCAAAATATGACCAGATGTTCTGCCCTTCGTATCCTCACGACAAAACCAAAATACTTCCTCTCCTGGACCGATACCTTTCCCTCGACTTGAAATTTAAATCCCTCGATTGATACACACTTGTTCCTACTCCGCTGCTTTTTTTTCTTCCCTCATTCTTCTGTTATTTATTTGTATTTTATTATTATTATAATATTGTATTATTCCATAATTAATTTTATGTTCCCGGGCGGAAAGACCTCGGTCGTTAGCCCTTTGGCCTATTAATATTTTTTTTTTAAATTATATGTTCGAATTTATTTATGTATACATTTTTTTTTCTTATGTATTGATGTTTGGCCAATAAATTATTATTATGACCAGATGTACTAGAAGAAGCAGTGGACGTTTTTCAGTGGAACAGGTAAAGTAAATTTCAAGTTGCAAAACTTGTGTATATAGATAAATTATAAAATAAGTTCAACCAAATATTATCGTCTTGTTTGATATTCATCATGTTATTTTGTTAAAATTTTTGACGCGATTGATGAGTCAACTGATCGTCCGTTGACCGGCTTAGTCTAGAGCGGTGTGTGTGTTAATTTTTATAGAAAAAAATTGTTTGATATTCGTCGTATGTTTAATTATGTATCAAGAAGATTTACTATCTATTGCTCACTCATATTTAGGTAATAAATATAATTATTGAATTTGTTCTATATATTCTCACATTTATTTAAACATTTAATATCATTGTGCTGATTCAAAAAATAATTCGATAAACAATTATAAAATAATTAACATTCGGTTGTTCCATTTCGTTCTTGCATTTGATAAAAAAAAGAACTCTTTTTTTTTTAGCAAAGAAGAAATGAAACAAAAATAATAAATAAGTACAATATAAATAGATTCATTCAGGCTCGACCTTTATAGATGACAATGCAGGAGGTTCCACGAAATGCGTTTTGAACTTATCGATGATGACTGTCGTAATATCAATGTGCTTATGCAATTTGATTATGTGCTGTTTAGCGGCGCACTTCTTGTTGAAGCTCTTCGGACACACGCAACATTGGTAAGGTCTCTCCTGCGTGTGAACCATCACGTGCTTCTTCAGATCATTCTTCGCGTAAAACGACTTATCACAGTCCGTGCAATGGAAGTCCCGAACGCCGCTATGGATCTTCTTGTGACTCGACAGGTTGCTCAACTTGCTGAACTTCTTTTGGCACACGTCGCACGTATAGGGCCGTTCCTTCGTGTGCGTCCTAATATGTATTCGAAGGTAGTTCATGGTCACGAAGGTCTTGTTGCAGACGGAGCAGTTGTACGGCCTCTCTCCCGTATGTCTCCTATTGTGAATAGTCAGATGCGTCTTCTGCGTAAACATCTTATCGCAAAGATTGCACTTGTACGGCTTCACCTTCGTGTGCACCCGAAGATGTTTCTTGAGAGTACTATTATCGATGCAATGCTTGTCACAAAATTCGCACACGTAATTCCTTTCACCTGTATGAACTATAGTATGCACCAAAAGCGAATCTCTCCTCGCAAACTTCTTATCACACAAAGTACACTCGTAGTACTTCTCACCGGTGTGAGTGTACCTGTGATGCTTCAAATGTTCGTTCCTAATAAAAGTTTTGTCACAAAAATCACACTTAAATGGTCTTTCTCCACTGTGTATCACCATATGTTTGTTCAGATTGCCCCTGCTCAAAAATTTCCTGTGGCACTCTTCGCATTCATGATCTTTAATCCCTGTATGTATTTTTATATGCTTGTTCAAAGTGCCCCGATCATTAAATGCCTTCGAGCATATTTCACATTTGTATGGCCTCTCATTGGAGTGACACATCATGTGTGTCTTCAATCTGGATTTTGTCACAAACATCTTCAAACACACTTCACAACCAAACTCCTTCTTTTGATGATCTTCTTTGACAACATCTTCTTCACTACTGTATTGAGCATCAGCAACTTCTTCCTTGATCATCACAGATTCAATCTCCAAATTACCTGCATATGAAGACTGTTGATTAAATACTTGTTCTTCAATAGCAATTACTCTAATAGTTTTAGGCTGTGGACTAAATATAATCTTTTCAGATTTGACTTCTTCCTCATCACTTGTTGAAACAATCACAATATCCTTAATATCCTCTTTATTTTCAAATTTCATTATTTCGATCTCTTCACACTCTGGAACTATAATAGTTGTAATATCCTCCTTAGCTTCTAATTTTGGTTGCAACATTGCCATCTTTTTTAAAATTATTTATGTAATCCAAACTAATTAAACAATACTTTACAGACTATTTAAGTATCTAGTAATGAAGCTGAATAAACAGATACATAACCATTTCATTTTATTTGTTCACAAGCTAGGGTTGATCATCTAAAATACTTTCTGTAATTGAATTGCAAACTTTAGATATTCCTTACTTACCACTCATTCAAGAGAATTGGTACAAGGTTCTTCATACCATATTTTCCTTTCCAAATTATTTATGAAATTTTAGGTTTATACAGGTTGTCTTTATGGCAATTACCTTGGTTTTTTATAAATATACAAGCATTGGTGTCCACTGAAATGTAAATATTGATCACTGCGCTCCTTAAGTCCTCTGTCCACTCTGTCGTCAACACTAATCTGTAACTTGCAAAAAGTATTCAATCAAACCTGACAGATCTGTATGCTGCACTCAAAAATCTGACAGGTGTAATCCTGGTGGATAGCAGCGAAACTACGGAATTTAAAATTTAAAGTTTACACTTCTTTCATGAAAACATTAGTATTTAATATAATAATATAATTGAAACAATTAATATTTATTACCATTCCTTTTGTTGTATGTTGTATGATTCAAATATACAGATGTTTTACTAAAAAGATTGGTAGCGACATCTATTCGTTTTGAAGCAAGGGACAAAGGCAGGACCGCATTAAGTATTAAAGTTTTAAAGGTGATTTACACCTGCGTGAAAATACTCAGATTTCAAAAGTTAATAAAAATTTATTAATACGTCATAGAAGTAAATAACTAACAAACTAATTGATTAACCAGTTTTGCAATTTATAATCTATATAATATAGTTTATATGTATGATATACTGTATGATAGTATATACTTATATTGTAGCAATTCAAGACATATTCAAATCTTGTTATAATATTGGCATTTTCCAAATAAACTCGTATTGTATAATTTAATATATCTTTAATAATAAATCTTTAATTAATAAATTGAAATAGTTGCTAGTAAATTCAATTGAAATTTATTTACTCAAGTTATTTACTTACAATTTTCATATAGTTTTTGTTGCTTACCACAGACAATGGACAGCAGCACCATCAGCTGTCACCTGTAAACATCTATAATTTGTTTGGTTATATTTAAGGTTATTCAGTTTGTTTTTTTAAAGCAAGCTGAACGTGTCAGCTTATAAGACACATAGTTAATTTTAACTTTTACTAAATTAATTTAAAAAGATGGCTTCAGGCAGCTCGGTAATTATAATAATATACTTCAAAATTATTCGAAACTTACCAAATGGTTTTTTTTCTAGAGAACAAGTGTTAAGGAGTACACAATAAAAGTTCCTAAACATGTTCAGAAAAGGCATCATGTAATGAGATTCAATGCGACACTAGATGTAGACTTTGAAAAATGGAAGCAGGTGAAGATGGAACGTGAGAATAACATGAAGGAATTCAAGGGTACGGAGGAGGATCAGCCAAAATTTGGTGCAGGATCAGAGTTTGGCAGAGAAGCAAAAGAGGAGGCAAGACGTAAGAAGCTTGGTATAATCTCACGTAAATACAAACCAGATGATCAGCCCTGGATTCTCAAATCATATGGTAGTACAGTAAAGAAGTTTAAAGGTAATTGAAGGTGAGAAGGAGACATTCCTGACCTGGTTTACATGGAGACATTCACATTTCAGGTATTAGAGAAGGTGGAGTCTCAGAAAATGCGGCCTACTATGTTTTCACACATGCAGCCAACCAAGTCATTGAAGCATTTCCACTGCATGAATGGTAAGTTTATTTACTAACAGATTATATTCAGATTTTATTCATTGATTTGAAACAGGTATAAGTTTCAACCAATCCAAAGATACAAGGCACTTTCTGCTGAAGAAGCAGAACAGGAATTCAGTAAGAGAAACAAGCATCTTAACTTTTTCTCACTTATGTTGAGGAAACGTCTAAAGGGTGATGACGATGCAGAGGTCGATGGTGAAGTGGAGGAAGGAAAAAGCAAGAAGGGTGGAAAATCTAAAGGTTCGTATTATTATTTTAAAAGTAATTCGCGTGTAATGAGTAATTTTATTATTTGTGTAGAGTTAAAGATCTCTGAAATGGATGAATGGATGGACAGTTCTGATGGTGATTCAGATGAAGAAGCTCCGGAGAAGGAGGAAGATGATGAAGAGAAACCAGATAAGAAGAAAATAAAGAAAAGTAAGTTACAGTTACACAAATATTTAATTATTATTTTTTAGTCACTTTATTTGTATGAAATTAATTGATGTTTTATTTATTGTTTAAGATGATGCTAAGAAGAAGAAGAACAAGAAAAGGGATACGGATGTCGAAGCGTTTGAGGATTCTGACGATGGTGATGGCGAAGGAAGAGAATTGGATTATATAACGGACAGCAGTGACAGCGAGCCGGAAAATACGAAACTCGAGGGTGTGGCAGAAGAGAAGGCGCTGAGAAAGTTGTTGAATTCTGATGAGGAGTCCGAAAACGATTCCGATAAGTCAGACAAAGAAATGGAGAAGGAAGACGAGGAGAACAAGGATAAGGACGAGGAGAAGGAGGGCGAAGCGGAGAAGGACAAGAAGAATAAGAACAACAAGAAGAAGAAGACAAAGAAAGATCCCAAGAAGGATGCGAAGGAGAAGAAGGGAACGACTGATAGTGATTTTAGTTCGGACAGCAGCACCGATGAGGACGTCAAGAAGAAGAAGGTGCAGCAGAAGAAGAACAAAAAGGAGAAGGGCGACGATAAGGCTAAACCCGAGCAAGCCGAGCCCAGCAGGTTAGTAATAATGGAAGGCGACTTCTCGCAACTGCGTTGTTTTTGTGCGTTTCTTTCAGTCAGTTTTTCTTGTTCTCTCTACATGATATTATAATGTTTTAGTACTAATAGTTCCAGGTCTGGAACTCCCACAATCGATGGCAAGAGGAAGATGCCCGATTTGGGTGGGCCGATCAAGAAGCCGAAACTGGAGGCGCCCATCAATTACATACCGGGATCTTTGGAATCGGGCATCACCGAGGACGCCGTCAGGAAATACCTGATGAGGAAACCTATGACCACAACAGAACTACTGCAGAAGTTCAAATCAAAGAAGACTGGTCTTTCGAGCGAGCAACTGGTCAACATAATGACGCAGATACTGAAGAAAATCAATCCCGTCAAGCAAACTCTCAAGGGAAAGATGTACCTGTCTATCAAATCTTAAATATATACTGTATCCATTATTATTTTTATCGCATATATATTATTTTTTTTTGTAAAATATAGTGAGATCAAATATATTCAGATATATATTTAATTACGTTTTTACATACGTCTTTATTTAATCTTCTTGCCTTTCTCAATTAATTTGAGTGTACTTTAAGCTTTATGAGTTGAGGCAACTCTCGTGGAAGTAATGCGTTTCTTATTGCAGGTCCGTTAATTAGTGAAATCCCTTTTCGAGACATAATTTGTTGCGGATTATTTTATTATAATTATAAAATATTCCCATCAACCGCAAAGTAATTCAAAGCTTTACATTTAAATTTCTTTTAATAATATATTTGTTTATCTGCGATCCACGTTTCACTTGCATAACATTCAGTAATAACTTGAACTTAATGTTTAACAATCATTTATTCATTTTAAGAAATGTTCAAGTTCAGACAATCTTGATTTATCTTCGTTATTATATATTATTTGTGTTGATTTATCCTATTTATATTATATTATTGAATGAATTTTGGAATAAAGGGTAAAGTTTATATACAGCAGCAACAATTAAAATTTTTAAGAAATTGATCCTATACTAAATACAAATCATAGGTGTTAAAATATGAATTAAAATCATAGATTACAAATAGGTTATATTATATCAGTGATTCTCAAAGAAAGAATCGCAGAAAATTTGATGACAGATCAATCCGTGATATTTTTCCATACATACCCATTTTTCAAGGAGTCGCGGACTAAAAAGTTTGAGAAAAGCTATCTTATGCAATAATCTGAAATATACTTTTTTTAATTTTGTTATAAAATATTCAAATTGAAATGATTTCTATTAATTATAAATATTTATTGAATATTTTAATGTAAGCATATCAAACTTGAGAAAGAGAATCAACTTGTGTATATATTCTAAAAATTGAGATATCAACAGTCTTGAGAACTAAGTTTTATATGGATCAAATGAAACTGACACATTTAGTACACTCGTGAAGATGGAAGAATTGCATTGTAGACTGATACTTTTCTATTACTGTAAAGCCAAAAATGCTTTACGGAGAAGTTGCTTTAGCTAAATGAACTTTAGAAACATAATTCTCTAAATGTAGAGCTGATGATTTCAGCCTTAATGTTCTAGTAGTAATAATGATGAAATCAAGATGTTGATCGAGAATAACTATCAGAAACAACTATCGACGAACGTTTTTGAAGCTTGCTTGCATAAATCGTTAAGATATATCAGTTTTGCACAAAAATCACAATATCAGCACTTATATTTCTTTTACTACTTAACAAAAATTGTTGGAGACGGACAGAGTTGTATTTGTTTACCCGTATTATATGGGTCTTTGCAAAAATTCCATTAACTGCAAGAACGATTAATTTTTAGTCGACATAAAAAACCCACCTGAAGAAGTTTTCTTGACGAAAAACCTAATAAATTCTGGGAGAATGTAATATTTTTATTGTGTACAAGATGAAGAAAGGTTTATAGATAAAAAAAAATGGAGCATACGTAAATAAAAAATTAAAAAATATATAAAAGTTTTGATTTTTAATTTTCGTAAAAAATCGGTACGAGCTTGCTGAACATCCAAATAGAATAAAAATTTTAAAACAAACTTAAATGAAAATAAATTCTAAAGAAATCGAAACGACGATGTATATATTTAGTTTCTTGATTATTCCGGTTTCAAACTTGCGTGGAACCGATTATCCGCACTATGCGAGGTATTGTCGTACACAGAAACTGTACAATTTTTCCAAGATTTTGAAATATGGTTGTTAAAGCATGTGTCGAATATCAGTAATTTGATCTAAGTTTAATCTTCTGAAATACCGTAGTTCATAAAAAATAGTTTCAGCAATATACACACCCCTCTTTCAGGCTTACATTAAACCAGTGGTTTCCAAATTTGATATTACTACGCCTCCCTTAGAAATATTTAATCATTTGGCTCCTATCCTCCCCCTTCAATTTCATAAAATAGATAAAACTTTCGTAGTCATTTGGAAAATTGCTCACTTTGACTAATATTCGGACCTCCCCTTAGACTATTCCGCTGCATTAAACGATGCTATTTCTCATTAATAAATATTTGTCAAGTTGTTAATCCAGTCAAATGATGCATATGCATGCAACGTTACGTTTGCAAAATGTTGCCAGTAGTAATAATATGTGCAATATGTTTCCTACCGAATGAGGTTGAAATGCAAGCAAAATGCGGAAAGAATCTCGTTCGGACTAAAATCGAATGCTGCCCGTAATGAGCTTGTTATTGGATCTGGAAAATAATTAGCGTGGCATAATTTATTTATTCTTCGGTAGAACGGAATATGATCTAATTGGCGACGACTGTGCACGTACGCCGTCAGCAATGATATTAGCCTGGAAGGGCGTAAATGCAATTAAATCTAATTGAAGCCGTATCGATAAAATGTATTTATTTTATTTACTCTCGATAGTCGATATACGGCTGATAAAAGCAGCAGGCTGTTCGTTAGATGGACAACAATACTTCGATCATGATACAAGCCAATACGAGACACAAACAAATCGAATTTTATACAAATTTTTATACTATAAAAAAATGATAATATTGTTTCGTGTTTTGTAAAAATTAATGTAAGACATCACAAATAATGAATAATCAGTAACATTCATGTTAAAAAATAATATTGAATCAACAAGAGACTTCATATTATATTATTGTATAATACATTTTATTTTATGCCGTATAATTTTAATTCACAATCTGTTCATCAATGTGAACATTGAGTAAAGTTAAATGGATAATCTTTCCCGGTGGATAGTTACCATTATGATGATTTTTGATTTTAATTTGTTGGTAACTTCAGTAGTATATTTATGCTCTGCGATTCCACTATTTCCTTAACACTGTCATTGTCCATCGACTTGGCTGAAGGTCCATATGCTGAACCTCATTAATTTGACTGTCCACCTGTGACGAACGATGGCCCTATTGTCGCAAGCACCGAGAGGGCTCACAAAGCTCCTGGCTTGACCTGGATTCGAACCGGCGCCCACGAAATGGACTTAACCATTCGTTTATTAGTACAATACATAAAATCAATAAAAATATTTACTAAATTCCTAACAAAATCAACTAAAAACGTAATTATTTCAATTAAAATACTTTGATGAAATGTTTCCAGGAACTAACTGCATTAGATGACAACTTAGCTTAAAATTAAGTATAGGATATCAATAGTTTTATTAATAATAAAATAACATAATAAAAAAAATAAAACTAAATTGAATTGCTGCAAAAGGGCTATTGACCAACCCCTGTTTTATTATTAATTTTAGATATTCTATAATTAGGTTGTGTAATTTTCGTAAAAGGCACACAAATCCGTAACAGTCGCCTCAAGAGGCTTATGCAAATTCGCTATACGGTCAAAAAAAACCTCTTCACTAAGCTCGGATATCAGAAGGTTCTCTACCTCTGTGCATTCATGACAGTCTTTGTGGGATTTCGCGGAGGATTGATAGGATGTCGGAGTTTAGTTAGGTCTCTAAAGGACAAACCTCCTTTCGCCTCCAACAACCTTTTACATGTTAAATATTAGTTAGTTATTGATCTGAAAATAGCTTTAAACACGTGGACAGCGAATTTTAATCACTTCTTTTAAAAAGAGAATTTGAGAATAGTTACATTGAAAGTAATATAGTAAACATAATAGATTGACATAGTTTTTGAATTTAACGTATTTGTTTAGAATCAACAGTCAATTAAATTTTTAATCAAAAATCGATATCTAATACTAATTCCATGAATACAGAATCATAAATTTAAAGATAAATATAAAGGTTTACTTTTTGTAGTTTTTACGTTTACGAGAAGAAAAGTATATGCTATAAAATGTATTGAAGAATCATCTAATTACATAATTGTATTTCAGTAATGTACTGTTTACTTTTTTTTTTTTAATAAGTTAAGTTACTATGGACAGTTCTAGGTTTAGTGTTTGTATTTACTATTTATACCATGAGAAAACTATAATTTTAGTTAAAATATGATTTTTTTACAATTATCTGGTTACATATTTATATTCCAGTAAAATACCATGTAATATTTCTCGAAAATGTAGATGCAATGATCTACGTGATTACTATGAATTGGAACAATTGTTAGGTAATCGAAGCAATTGTTTCCCGTGAACTATGGGAAAGGTAGACAAATTGGTCATAAATGCATATTCACGTTAGACGCAATAGATAGATGTGAAAATGTATCTTTCAAATTAAATTCTATGAGAAACTATTTATATTTCTATAATTCTCCGATAGCAACAGAATTTTATATATTGAAGGATCTACAATTAATTTTTGTAAATTCGAATAAAATCAAGAACAAAGTGAATAATTTTGGTCGTTGAATGGCATATAGATGGCGTCTCTACCGACAAATTCATATAATTTTTACTAAGTACCAACCTACAGAAACTCCTGTCAAAATTTCATGGCAATCTGACGTTTAGTTCACAAGTTACAGTGGTTTTAATGAGGCTACTTTTGTAATTTTCAAAACAATGGAAAAATCTGAATGTGTGTTGATAAAACATTGCTTTTTGATGGGAAAAAAATATCGTTGTTGTTTTATTAGTCATCCTACGAACTTATTGTGTGAGGTGTTATGAATCTAATAGAAAGAATTTTAAGTAGATTTACCTGATCTGGTGAAAATTAAGTTTCGACGAAAAACATCTACTTGTAATTAAAGAAAATGTCAGTTTCAAAATTGATGTATGTCTAAAATCAGTATTATTCAACTTTATTTTATCTCACAGCACACTTAAACCTATAGTTATAATACTGCGGCACACTTAAATTATGATGATGTTACTGAAATTTGTTATGACTTTTTTTTTCAATTTTTTAAGGATTTTCTCCAAAATTCCCGGGAAAACGGGAAATACAAATATGAAAAAATGTTAATCTAAATGTTAATATTTGATTATTAGACTCAAGCCATATGTCGGACTTCTTGAAATAGAAGTTTTTATTTAATTTACTATTCTGTGTTTTCTGAACACGAATAACTCATTTCTTAAATTGGAATTGTGTTCGATAAGAACATTACACTTCAATATGTGAATGTAGGAGTCATCTGAAGAGGCAATATGGGTCATCACATCATTGAGCGAAAATACAATCAAATACTAAGTGGTAAAAGCAGAGGTTCGAAGACAAAGTGATGTGATCGATATTAGATTGAATGTTTCTCTTATGTAAGAAATTTGGCATTATAAAAGTCGGAATACTTTTATAATAAAAATAACATTTATTGCAACAATTAAGAAATATGTCATAT